ACACACACACACACACACACACACTATCAATTCAAACCATACCTCATCCAGAGTACATCATAATTGGCCAAGCTCTGCCGCACGCACACACACACACACACACACACACACACACACACACACTATCAATTCAATCCATACCTCATCCAGAGTATATCATCATTAGCCAAGCTCTGCCACACACAGGCAGCCAGACAGAGGTCCGTAGCATTCAGATGAGACAGGACGGAGAGGCTGATTTCTGGGGGGAGTAAATTTAAGTCCGGGAATGACAACAGAGCATTTGAGTTCTTCTTTCTGTGTGAGCCATCACCATCACCTTCAGCCTGATGTTCTTCATGGAGTTTTCGGAGAAACTGGCCCATAGCTTTTTATGATCTTTACATCCGGGTTTGGGTGCTTTTTGTCCAAGGATTGCTGACTGGTTTGGAAGTTACTGTGTACATGTGTTGTTTCTTTGAGTTAATACTTCATCAAAACTTGAAAATAAAATTAGAAAAGTGCTTTCATATATGCCTTATATGTACATTCACACATTTGCATAATATTCTAAAGTTCCGAAAACATTTTCCAGAGGTTAATATAATTCTACTGGCGAAATAATGGTACTGCAACAGTAAAGCATCAAATATTATTGCATCATTTGTCAACTTTAACAAGTTGGACAGACTGACAAATAGATCAATTTTACGTCCAGCAATTTGAAGAAGGTGCAGTTGAAGAATGTCTTTCATTTTTTTCTTCCATGGTCGACCAAGAGATAAATTTGGTTCATCCTTTGTCATGTGGATTTTACTTGATTCGTATAGGAAAACTGGGAACTTATGTTTTACATGTGTTGCAGGGAGTCTATGCTCACTTAATTCATATGTTACTTTTCCTGGGACATAAAAGACATCTTAAAACAGCTTTATTTCTACTTCCTGGGTGCACATGGAGTAATGCACTAGCAATTTTGCAAACTGACATTCCTGTTAATGGACTATGGTGCAGTCTTGGAATAGAGAGTGTTTTAATCAAATTGCGGAAATTCAGTACATCATTAATCTATTCGTTAATTCATCGACAGATACTGACCCCACTTTTAAACGCCCTTGCCCCGATTCGCGAAGTTTGCAGAACTTCAGTCCAGGCTGGGGGAAAAGTGGGTCATGTTTTGATATATTAAAATCCTTAAAATCGCCTACCTGCATAAAAAACAGAAGTAAATAGCGTCGTCCCACCTTAAAGGATGGCTAAGCAGCCCGTGTCATCGCTTCATGCTGGAAGTAAATCCCTGTGATGCCTACATACAGTAAATAAACTGAGTCCTGAGTGCCCTGGTTGGAATTCCAGTGTTGGCCAAAATGACGTGGAACCGGAGCAAACACAAAGACCCACATCTGATTGGATGAAATGATAATTTGTGCGGGCCTACGATTCATCATAAAGCGGAAAATGTGAACAGTTGTCAGTCCTCAGTTATAATTGAAAAGGTAAGCAACAGCAGACGGTTCCCGTTTGAATGACTTTGAAAAAAGGAAATTTGACTTTTTTTAAAGCGGAATAGGTTCATAAGAGATATGCCAAAACACTTTTACGTTTTGACACTGATAAAATTTTCTAAATGTGTTATCTGGTTAAAACTCTTGTGTTTTTTTCTACCCCACGGTCAGATCTTGTGTTCTAGTTCTGTCTCAAAATTGTAATGTTTAGGACAAGAGCTGGATACCCTAACGTAACCTAGTTCGGGATTCGGTAGTGATTCTGTCACCAGAAGTGCTCTCCAAAGCTGTGCATCAAAATTCTGTACAAGTGCAAGGTAAAATTAATTTTAATTTGTGGCTATTTATGTGTATTTTATGGCTGAAGTTTGCTCTGCTCATCATCATGGCACATCACAACTTGTTTCTAGATAATTCTACAATCCTTTTGTTTCCTAGATGACTACTGGAGATATTAAGAATAATCTAAAGAAGCTGCAGAAGGAGGTACAGCTCATTAAATATGGGGAAGAGCTGGATCTGCAAGGGTAGGTTCAGGTGTTATAAAGCAGAGAGCCATTTGTGATCTTAAGCCTCAGGTTTGTAAATACAAAAACCAGATTTAAGACTACAACTGTGATTTAATGACACTTATTATGTAAAAAAAGTGGTCACCAGCACTGTGATGCCAAATGCAAAGTACTGGTTTTGAATTGGGAATCTGCAGCTTTTCATTAATGTCCGTGATGGTGTTATCAATTTGTCTTATTATTATTATTATTGCTGTGATAATGGACACAAAATCAATATCTGTATATGATGTTGATATTTTAGGCTTTCTCAGGGCAAGCCCTCTGCATTCCTTCCTCTGTACCACTATGCCTTTGTGACATATAGCTGCTACATTGCCAAGGCTATTACAGACATTAATATAGAGTTGTATGGAAAAACAGATCTGAGGTTCATGGAAGGAGTGTATAAGGTATTATGAATGTTATTATCTCTGGTCTATGTTTTGAAATCATTTTTCAGTGAATGTGCTTTCTGATTTTTCCTTTATTTGATATAATAGCACAAACCTGCATTTGGTATGAACACGTCACTTGGACAATTCTTACTTCCGTTTTCTTTCATATGGGCATCAGCTTTTCTTATAATGATGTTGCTGATAGTTTGATCATTGTCTAAATACTTACGTCTCTGAATTTTTATGATGGGCAGGTGCTCCGGGAGATGTTCAACTATAAGCCTCCTGTCACTAAAGAGCAGTTCTTCTCCACGGGGTTCGCAGAGAGGAAGGTGATAATGTGCACAGAAATCCTCAACATGATCAAGGCAAAGCACAGACGTTTAGCTCCCAAGCCTAAGTCCAGAGGCAACTCCACCCTGACCTCTCTACACAGGTCCTCCTCAGTACCAGCCATTGATACACAGAAGTTGACTGGTATGCTGGGGTTTACAGTGGGAAGAATATTGGGGGGGGGGGGGTAAATGGGGAGAGGGAAGGAGGGTTGGATGCCCCCCCCCCCCTCAAACTAATACCACAACCACTCGATCAATATCACACGCGAATTCATGCATGCAGACACATTTGAATTTAAAAATATGTCCCTAATATGTCTGTCAGCCAGATCTGATTAGTTTTTGTTATTGTTGTTAAAAAAGGGGTGCTGTTATGCATTCAGTGGTGTGCCACAGATTTGGGTACTTGGCGGTAAAGAAATAAGTCTAGAATTATATCAGTCTATAAACAGTTTTTGTCTCATCTGTTGACTTGTGTTTTATTTCATGTAACATTATAGGGAACCCTAAAGAAAGAAAGAATAAGGAAAATGTTACAGAATGCTCCATCCCAAAGGTATTAACTATTTTGTGTGTGCGTTTTCTCTTGGATATGTTACTCAGACTTGTAATATTTGCACTTGAAATACAAACATTATAATTACATTTACTGTACCTCAAAAAAACCCTTTTTTTTTTAAAGACATCACTTGGAATATGTGGTATGAACAAAGCTTCTTTAAAGATGGATTCTTAAAAAGATTTTCTTATTTCTCTTAATTATAATTTTACTTACTATATTTTACCATAACATTATTTTGGATTTATCAAATATTAATGACAATGAATAAAACCCAAATAACACACATAGAGGTAAATGGATTAAGAAAACTTTTCTGCATGTATTTATCCATCTGTTTATTGCCAGGTTGTAAATGAGGTGTGGCACAGAGAGACTCTAGCCGAAGGTCAAGGTCATGAAGGAAGCCTCTCTCCACCAGGTGGTGTCACAAGAACAAGCCCCTCTGCTAGGCTGCCGTCCAAAGAGGGCGCTCCACATGATGCTTTGCCAGTGATAAGTCACGTGAGACCTGCTGAAGTCATAGGTGCTGGTTGTGACATGTCACCTAGTATTAATTATATCAGACCTGCTTCTGTGGAACTGGTGACCATAGAAAGAGGTTGGTCTCTTGCTCACTTGATTATCTTTGAACAATGACTTTTAAATTTTGCATAAATATTTATCTTTTTTCAAATTTACGTTTTTCAGAGTAAAAGACATAATATTTAATATAAAACTTATATTTAATGCAGAAAGCTTAGTCCGCTTATAGTAAAACTCTTTTTAAAATACTTAGGTGTGTGTGAAGAGTATCTTTTCATCATGGGTTAATGGGACTATTTTTATGTTCTCTTGCCTGTGGTGGGGGGATCATGAGTAAACTATTTTTTTTCATTGTAGGCTCTGAAGTATCTGCCAATTGGCATGTCGCTGAACAACCTCTGGAGCCAATAGATGTGGTTGCCATGACGCCAGGCAAACAACCGGAGTCGCAGGATTCTCTCACACTTAATCAGATTGAAGAGGTAGGTACACATTATTTACCCAACATTTTATGAAAATATAGGTTTCTTCAAAGCAAGTTGCAGTGACTTGACTATCTCATGGCTCATTGTATTCTTTTTTTTTTTTTCTGTTTCCCCATCCCAGACAACCGATAACATCAAGAATGTCGTGTCCCAGCTTTATCAGAGGATGGAGCAGATGGAGACGGCCCTTCATTCCATGGCGACCAGGACCCCGCCAGCCAACAGAGAGCAGGACGACAAGGAAAATGATTTCTACATCACAAAACCCCAGTGGGATAGCGTCATGGCCAGATTGATCTTGTTGGAGAATAGGGTCATGATGCTTGAGGTAGTGGAATTTTTATTACAGCAGAATCAATGGGGCTCTTAACCTAAAAAAGAAGCTCAAAAAAGCATGGAAAAGAGAGAAATTGCACCTTTTTTAAACTAAATAAGCCCTTATGTATCAGGATAACCTGGATACGTGCTTGATTTTATATTTCTGCTGCATAAATGCACTGTTTACAATAACTTGTCACACCCAAAAAAATTATATAACTATTTTAATGGAAAATTTAACTTTTTAATGGAAAATTCTTGGAAAAGTTGACAACTTTCTCAATGTTATGGACTGTAAGTAAGTTGTCTTTTTTAGAATGATGGATCCAAAAAACAGTCAAATAAGAAGTCAGAAAAACTTGGAAAAGGTAAGTAATATGTAAAGGAGACTTCTTCATAAAACACAAGATATTGAATGAATGAGCTAGATACAGATTTTATAAATTTATCAGAATAATTTTGTATTTGAGTTTAGAGGTAACTACACACTTGGATGTTAAGTTTGATGTTNCTGTAAGTAAATTGTCTTTTTTAGAATGATGGATCCAAAAAACAGTCAAATAAGAAGTCAGAAAAACTTGGAAAAGGTAAGTAATATGTAAAGGAGACTTCTTCATAAAACACAAGATATTGAATGAATGAGCTAGATTCAGATTATATAAATTTATCAAAATAATTTTGTATTTGAGTTTAAAGGTAACTACACACTGGGATGTTAAGTTTGATGTGTTTTATGTACCTTTCATATCCAGTGCTTTCTGTACAAGAAATAGTTAACAGAATTAAAAAAGAAATGCTGGAAATCTCAGGTGGACCACCGTAATTGCCATTGTGAACAAATTTTCCTGAATGAATTTGCAAATGCTAGAAGTGTGCATTGAAAATATTCCTGCTAAGAATCGTTTTTTTTCCCCCGTCAGGTTTGGACACTACTCCAGCTCCTAAAGCAGCAAGGACCCCTCTGTCAGACAGCAAGGTATATCGAGGTAAGCACAGAACCTGTTCCTTTCCTTATACACTTCCTTATTACACTTAGACTATGACATGGATAATGAAGCATGTGATTCTGTGCTTGCAGTCTTTGTAAGATTCCAGTGTTTGTGCCAGTGCTGGATTTCAATTTCTTAGAAAGTTTAGAAAAATGTTATCTGACATTTTTTCTTCAGCAAAGGCAAGTTGTTATATTTGAATTGCCTTGATCATTTCAAAATATTCAACAAACAAAATATAATTTATATTTAGGATTTAGTATTCCACTAGTTTCGATTTATGAACATTTTGATCAATTCCTTACTAAGCTTCTCTGCTAACTGCCTAGATTGGTGAGAGTCAAAGTTTGCATCTAACCAACTTTATTATGTGATAAGGAACAAATTTAGATGTAATAAACCATTCTACTATTAATTGGCCTTTGTAGACTTAACCAAATTGAGATACCTATTAAGTATTCTATTGTCAACAGTACAAATCTGTCTAGACAATAAGATAAAGCAGACTTGCCTTTCTGATTCTTTGTGAAGAACAACTTTCTGTTGGCAGACATAGCTAAGTTAAAAGCAAATCTTGAGAAACAGCACCCAGATTGATGCAGTGTCAGTCATAATGAAGGAAACTATAATTTTCACGGTTATATTTGCTCTTTGTCTGGTTTAAACTATTTAGTATCAGACACAACAGATTTAAATAATTGGTTTAGAAAAAGGGACAGAAATAAAAACATTTTCTTTTGCTTTTCTCTGTCAGCTTCTTCCTCCACTTCCAAAGCTGGCAGGAAGACCCCTTTAACCCAGGGCAAGCCTGTCTCTCGTCAGAAACTCACCATCTCCCCCATCAAGCCAGCTGGATTAGACGGCAACTTGGACGTACCGGGAATGGTCAGTCCCAAACCACAGCAAGCGGTCAGTCCGTACCATGATGTCTCCTTAACAGACCATTCTGCAATCATAGAGGCTGTAGAAAGGGAAAATGATGCCAATGCCAGCACACCTAATAACCCTACTGTGGACCCGAGTAACCAGCATGTGATGGTCACCTCTGAAATAAGTGCCATTGCTTTGAATATAGAAGACCCAGAGATACACGACCAGGCAGCCAGGATTAATAGAATGTTGGTATACTTTAGAGACCACTGATATTTAGATTGATCTATCCCCCTGGGGAGTCTCACTAGATTGCTGTCAGCCTGTCAGCTTAACCAGCTTAAATGTCTGTCCCGCCTACTAAAAGCTGTAAGGGGGTAATTAACTGTCATGCACGCGAGGCTCCCAGAAGCTGACAGCAATTTAGCGTGAACCCCCAGGGAGTTAGGTCGATCAAGATGGATTGATCTAAATCTGTGGGAACCCAGATATCATGTTAAAAGGCTAGTTCAAAATTTTGGTCTTGAAATTACCCCAGCATTTGGTGAACTTGCTTGAGCATCAACAGAATGTAATGTAACTTTGGGCTTATTCCAAATAAGATCAATCCAGCTCTGCAGGGTCCCCTGTTGAATGAGATAAAATGATGACATGCCTCCTCTGGGCATTGAGTAGAATACAGAAAAGCTGATCATGTATGTTGATGCAAGATGCAAGTCCTTTTTCTAAGCCAAGTTGCATAAGAATTCATTTCTTTTGCTGTAGTCCTCTGCTTTCAAGGTTTCTTTGTTGCTAACATAATGAATGTGACATTACTTGATGTTGTATCTTGTTATTTGGGTTTTGTGGGCAGTTTGTTTAGTCCTTTTCTCAATATCCTCCAGAGGAAATCGCATTAAATTTCCTTCCTTATGTTGTAAGCATCTACTTTCTTAAGTGAATGTTGTGATTTTTTTTTATCTTTGAAATTGTTTCTATAATTACTATTTTTATTTCCTTCCAGATTACAGGACACTCAAAATATGCTGTCACAACCAACATCAACAACTTAAACCATTGGACTGATAGCATGAGGACAGCATTGGTAAAACCAGGACTAATTACACACCAAGCACCTGTTGATTCACATTTTGTTCACACTTGCACATAGGTACATATTGAGGGACGAGAGGGTTTGATTTCAATTCATCCTGTATTTAAATGCTTAAGGCACAGATGACTTTTTGAAATTCTGCCCGTGGCCCACAGTTGTGCTGCACACCCTCACATGTGAGGTTTTGGTGCATCTCTGTTTATTCTTGCATCATTATTATTATTATTATTATTATTATTATTGTTATTGTTAATATTTATTTATTATAAATGTCACAGTGCATTACTCTTTGATGCTTGATAAATTCCATGTGTGTATTATATCATGTAACAATATCAGCACGTAATGACGTACACAAAAAGCTTTGAAAAACTGATTTCTTCTGAAAAACAAAAAAAAAGTAAGAAAATTCCTTTTTTCATATATTGAACACTTTGTACGACTTCTGATTTTATGAGAAAAATTTGCTCTGCATTTTTATTCATATGACCACATCCAGTTTGGTCTCTCTTTTAGAGACCCAAGAAATCGATTTGAGAAATATACATGTACTAATAATTATTTTCAAAAATACATTATCATTGATATATTTACATGTGTTTTTCAATCTGCTCCATATTATAAATACACTAGGAAAGAGTTGAAAAAAAATACTTGGATTTTATATCTCAAATGATTTTTCTGACCAATAAAAACAAAGTGACCTCTTTATTCAAATAAATACATGAAATATTGTTTTAATTTGTTGATTTATATACATCACTAATTTTTAATTTTAAGTTAGCCAAAAACAAGTTCTGGACATCGTGCGACAGCGTTTCGTTCTTGCCTTCACAGTGCGGTAAAACGTGACTCCCAAACAACTCGGAGCCAGGAAACCTTAATGTGGCTACATGTGACAGCTTTAACTCTCTCCCCCCCCCCCCCACAAACCTCCCCCTAAAAAAATAACAATAATAAATACGTCACACTCCCCGACCGTGAGAGGTATCGGCCTCTACGCATAAAATTCAACCGTGTCACACAACCCGATTTATCTAGTCTTTCTTCGGCCATCTTTAGGTTGTTTTGCACTGTCTTCTGGTCTTCAATATTGGCCACTTCTTACGTATGTAAAACGGAAAAAACTTATTTATGATGTTAGACTTTCGGGGACAGTTTTTTTTTAACCTGAATAATATGGTAGGGTCACATATCTCGTCGAAGCGTTCATTTTTAATGCGGTTGATAATACACTATTTATAGCTCGGCAATTAAAAAAATGAACATTTTGTCATTCAACAAGTTTCTTTTAAGGAATTAAACAAATTACCAGAGTGTGAAATTAATTCGTCGTGGTTTTAGACAATGAATTATTTATCGGTTCAGGAGAAATGAGCCTGACGTAAACCCTGGTGACGGGTAAGATTTTCCCACTACAAGGGCCGCGGAGAGAATTTTGATGTGACGAAAAAATAGGGGAAAACTCTGTTGAAAGGCTGTGCGGTGGAGTACCACCCTATAGACGAGTTATGACTAAGATTTAATATAGAATACTCCAAACTTTCTTCAGTCTATTTCGTTAAAAGGGTCTTCATGTTTCGAACCCCATGCAAAAAGATAATAAGGAAAAGTAATTTGCTTGTTAAAACCGAGTTGAGTTTTGTCTTACAAATGAACGCTGTCAAAGTTAACACGCGTGGCGTACTAAAGGCGGGGAATCTGAAAGTCGCCCATCGCTGGGGCTAGTTTCACAACAAAGTTTTTGGCCTAAAATTGAAGCATTCTAACACAACTGAATAACGTGCGTTCCCCCCCCCCCAAAAAAAAAAAAAAAAAAAAAAAAACTAAGATGATTCTTAACCCTTTTTCCCCCCTATATTTTAAGTAAGCTTTTTTTTTTTTGGTCAAATTGTGCACAGCAGCGAATTTAGGTATGTCAGATGCAAAAATTATTACACCATAGTTTCACAAGACGAAGCGAACGGGTTTCTTTAAAGAAATGTACACAAAAGCACACGCCCACTGTACAGCGCATACGGAAACGGGCTCTTGCAAATGGCGAAAAGAGGAAACTTTAGACCATGTGAAACGGGCCACTAGTGTTCGTGTCCTGTTGTGGTCCAAGGTCACGGATTTAAGCAAAAGATGAAAGGTACACTCCATGGGTTTAAAAATCTCCAAAAAGCTTAATTTTGCCTTTCATAGCTTCTTATTAAACCTTATATTCGCCTTAAAATGATTTAACCCCTTTAATTTAACCTGATGTCGATATTTCCATTGAAATGTATAGGAACTTTCCTAGTGGTCGATGTTATGATGGACCAGTCATCTTAAGCTAAAAATCAACCTTAATACATTTTATCAAAGGTCGAATCCAAGTGCAGAGAGATGAATAGATAAATGATTCGTGAGTACGAGAAAATTGCTTATTTTCCAGGGAAAATCCATTTTGGCGGATAAATCTCATGGAGTGTACCTTTTAAACTATATTAAGTCACTGTTAATTCCATCAGTCTTCCACCATGTAATACGCACGGTTTGATAATGATAAAAAAAGTAAACAAATATGGCCTGGAGTAAACGTTTGTTTGCGAGACCTTTTCCTCGACCCCAACAGAAAGTGCCCGAATTTCACTGAAAAGCACCCGTAAAACCGGCCACATAATATCACTAGGTAGGTACTACATATATATATTACATTCAAGGTTGTTATACATGCATTTTACCCTCAATGTAAAATTTCTACGAGATAAAAAAAAAATAAAACAGATTATTTCAAAATTATTAAAAATTGTCTTAAAGCAACTACATGTTGTAGAAACAAATTTTGATCTTAAAGAATCACTACACCCTGCACATAATAATTAGAGCCCTTAGTAACAACCACTGATTTTGTGTTCACGGGACGGAGGGGGTTTGAGAAAAGGCGGGTTGACAGTGTTGTAGGGTGGGAAATTTTCCCTGGTCGAGGGATTTAAGCTTCCCTCCACGGAAGAAGCGTGAGGAATAGATCTTAATATTCTATAATTAGAATTAGGCAGCTTGATTCATGGAAGAATACCGTATTAATTGATATTAAGGTGGGTTCGACTGAGACCCGCTAGTCCCCCTTAGCTCGTTCAAATCTACATTTACAGGTCACTCAAACATATTTATATCTCTGCTGATAGCAAATTCCGGTGCTTGACACAGCTAGTGGTTAAATGTATTTTCTTGTACTCTGTTATTAAACACTGTAATTTCTTTCTCGGCATGGAGCGTCCTTCAACCAAGCACTTGATAAAAGCATTTGAGAGCGGCGGAGCCCAAGGGAAAAAGCTTCACGTGCTGATCGTGTACGCGCACCAAGAACCCAAATCCTTCAACGGGGCTTTGAAAGATGTCGCCGTGGAGGTCCTACGTGAATTAGGACACACTGTGGAGATATCGGACTTGTACGCCCAGAACTTCAACCCTCTCTGTACAAGAAACGACATCAAAGGTAAGGACCCCTTTTCAATCGTTTTCTAGTTTGACATTTTGTTTTATTTCAGTAAATACAGGTGGCTAGTACTGGCAGGAGAAAAAGGACAGCTTCAATTGGTAATTTCATCCCATAATTTTGTTGTCAATCCAGTGACCTCTGACATTTTTTTTTATGAATAAGGCCCTTTTGTCGGGAGAGATTTTGTTTATAAACCTTTGTTAAGAACGTGCTGTCAATCAAATTATTTTCTAGGTTCAAACGTGCTAAAAATGAGATATATTTGAAAATTTCTCCCATACATCTTTGTGTTTTGCTTCTTTGGGGTGAAAAAGGAAATTTTAATGAACGCATATATAAGCCATCCCTACCCCTGTTGGAAACCACTTTCACACGATTTTAATTTTGATATATATTACCTATATAAGCAGTCGAAAAGATAAGTGGATAGAAAACCTTTTATTGAGTAAACTAACCAATCTGTTGCTGACAAACAGGCTTATCTTTTACAGAAGAATTTATTAAAAGTTATCAGAGGTTGTGTAGGTACCTGTAAATAGAAATTAAATGTTGAACGCTATAAAGAGTTTTAGACGCAGATAAATTAGATCACTTGGGTCACACACACCCCCCTCCACCCTTCAGCTTGAATGCAGACTGAGTCAAACGACATGAAAACATTTCCCACCATCTTCTAAATCGTCCCACCTTGGGTTATCTTGATCTTCAGCTGTTATCGTCTCGATTGAAATTAATTTCAATAATATCAATTTCATTTTGGTCAAAAAAAATATGTGTGTAATTTTAAAACTTGTTTTTTGTTTTATATTTTAGGGGAACTACTAAATCCCAACCACTTCAAGTTCTGCCAAGAGACGCAAAATGCTTATAAAAATGGAACTCTCTCTGAAGACATCGTTTCTGAACAAGAAAAGCTTAATAGAGCTGATTTGGTCATATTCCAATTCCCAATATATTGGATGTCCTTCCCGGCTATCCTGAAAGGCTGGTTTGACCGGGTGTTTACCTTGGGATATGCATTTACATATGAAGCAATGTGTGATGAAGGTCTTCTTAAAGTGAGTATAAATTACAATCATTAAACATCACTATTTGACAGTCAAAGTACTGACGACTGTCTGGTGGCACATATGAATGTACTGGTATATGGGGCAAATCATGTGCGTGAAATCTTAAGCATTTACCCTGCAATAACATGTTACTTTACAGAGCATCTCGTTTGTTTGAACAGCATTTTTAAATCTCAGATTAAAAAACTCAGTCAGTGCAGACGTCTCAAAACAACGGCACTATTTCGTGACTCAGATTCATAGAAAAGTCTCAAATTTTACCGTGCTCTGACAGTATTCAGCCGACTGCGGATGCGTTAGTCACATGGAAGTATGCAGCATGAGGAACATCATAATTAACACAGAGGCCTGTAGCCGGCAATTTAAAAAGAGGTCTCATTTTAAAAATTAGACAGCGATCTTTTTACATGAAACCTTCGTGTACCTAGATCAAATTTCGCACAGAACAGATCCCCGGTAAACGGGCGCTTCATTCGTTCGATGCAGCAAGTTATCAGAAAACAAATTGACTGAAAATAAGCACAGTTTTGCAACTTCAAGCTTCGTGACACTTTTTTATATCGTATACCCCTTATACATTCTCTCCTCAAAATGCCGAAAGACAAAAATATTATCTTACTATGCCGTTAGAAAATCCACTTCAAGTTCTCACTCCCGTGTTTTACACCACTCGACAGCATATGAGGCCACTTCCGGCACAATCATTTCTTCTCCGGTTCCCTTTATTCTCACATGTAAATTTAGCCCTATGAGGTAGTAAAACCTTTCCATGTGTATCGTTAAACGTATTTGAAAAAAGGATAAAGGGGTACCCCTTTTGAAGTTATTTCAATTAAACACCGTATTTGTATTTGCTATCACACCGATGAAACAAGTTTCGAAACTAATGTCTTCTAATTTTTAAAACTTTTCTTTTAATTCTTTATGGAATGGCATTTAACCTACTTAAATGCACTTTGCAAATTTTTCTCTTTCAACCTTTTCTCAGTCAATCAGTCGCTCTCACTTTTGTTCTACCTCGTCAGTCCCACACTTCTTTTCGTCTGTTTTCAGGGAAAGACAGCAATGCTTTCCTTCACAACAGGCGGGAGAGAGACGGCGTTCACGACGACAGGGATAATGGGGGACATGGAGGTTATGTTGTGGCCAATACAGGTACAATACCCAGCGGGTACCAGTACAATTAATTTTTCAGTGACATCACACGTGCACTGATATGACTCTTACATGCGTCAAGATACTGATGTCGTCGCATTAGGTAGGCTATAGGCCTATACTAAGAGCAATGTGAAAGTTTACGTTGAAATACCAGCTGATGAATTTTTCTACACGTGTACAGATTAAAGCCCTAATTGCTTCATTTCCAGCATTCATTTTTGTTGGACTATATTTGGTATTTGAATCCAATGCCTGATGTATAGGCCTATTGCATAAGCTATTTCGTCTTCTGTACCCAAAGCAATGCTTAGAATTAGACCCAGTTCTCATACCTAGGTCGATCTAGCGGGATCGACCCTTCTCCGATGGGATTCTCACTAAATAAAGGGAACNTCATTATGTAACGTTTGTCGTATCTGTAATACTACAAATTCCGAATTCAGCCTCTAAAGTCTACTTTAAGCTAAGAAATATCAAAACAAATATGATCGCTATTAATGACCTAACCTCCGTTACGAAATTACTCATTTTTCATTTGAACATTGGATATGTGTGTGCTCATTGATCAATGCTCATAGCATAATAGATTGATTGCACTTTGTTCATAAACAAATAGTATGATAAAAAAGAAAGTCTGTCCCCATTGATTAATAAAATATTTAAATTGGAATATCTCAGGCTTTGTATTTATAGAAAACGAGCCACTTATTATCAATGTGTTTGCACCGCATTTTCTATAATTGAAGAGAAATCTTAAATGGGCAATAATATTTTGAATACATACAAAATCTTAATAATTGAATCAAATATGGAGCCTGTGACCTTTGACATGATTGAAATATAACCTAATTTAGATGTTACCTAACCTCCGTAACGAAAAAAATACTGTACCATGTTTACACGTGCGTATTTCTTTAAATACAGTAATGGTGTGGGTTAAAATTCTTCTACTACTCTCTGAATACCTCTTCATCAAAATAATATAAAAAGTTTTCCAGTTTTGCAAAGTTCATATCACTGCATTTCTTGTTTTGGAATTGTACCCCTTTTCGTGGAATGGCCGTTTTACAGAAGAATTTATTAAAAGTTATCAGAGGTTGTGTAGGTACCTGTAAATAGAAATTAAATGTTGAACGCTATAAAGAGTTTTAGACGCAGATAAATTAGATCACTTGGGTCACACACACCCCCCTCCACCCTTCAGCTTGAATGCAGACTGAGTCAAACGACATGAAAACATTTCCCACCATCTTCTAAATCGTCCCACCTTGGGTTATCTTGATCTTCAGCTGTTATCGTCTCGATTGAAATTAATTTCAATAATACCAATTTCATTTTGGTCAAAAAAAAATACGTGTGTAATTTTAAAACTTGTTTTTTGTTTTATATTTTAGGGGAACTACTAAATCCCAACCACTTCAAGTACTGCCAAGAGACGCAAAATGCTTATAAAAATGGAACTCTCTCTGAAGACATCGTTTCTGAACAAGAAAAGCTTAATAGAGCTGATTTGGTCATATTCCAGTTCCCAATATATTGGATGTCCTTCCCGGCTATCCTGAAAGGCTGGTTTGACCGAGTGTTTACCTTGGGATATGCATTTACATATGAAGCAATGTGTGATGAAGGTCTTCTTAAAGTGAGTATAAATTACAATCATTTTAAAAACATCACTATTTGACAGTCAAAGTACTGACGACTGTCTGGTGGCACATATGAATGTACTGGTATATGGGACAAATCATGTGCGTGAAATCTTAAGCATTTACCCTGCAATAACATGTTTATTGACAGAGCAACTCGTTTGTTTGAACAGCATTTTTAAATCTCAGATTAAAAAACTCAGTCAGTGCAGACGTCTCAAAACGGCACTATTTCGTGACTCAGATTCATAGAAAAGTCTCAAATTTTACCGTGCTCTGACAGTATTCAGCCGACTGCGGATGCGTTAGTCACATGGAAGTATGCAGCATGAGGAACATCATAATTAACACAGAGGCCTGTAGCCGGCAATTTAAAAAGAGGTCTCATTTTAAAAATTAGACAGCGATCTTTTACATGAAACCTTCGTGTACCTAGATCAAATTTCGCACAGAACAGATCCCCGGTAAACGGGCGCTTCATTCGTTCGATGCAGCAAGTTATCAGAAAACAAATTGACTGAAAATAAGCACAGTTTTGAAACTTCAAGCTTCGTGACACTTTTTTATATCGTATACCCCTTATAAATTCTCTCCTCAAAATGCCGAAAGACAAAAATATTATCTTACTATGCCGTTAGAAAATCCACTTCAAGTTCTCACTCCCGTGTTTTACACCACTCGACAGCATATGAGGCCACTTCCGGCACAATCATTTCTTCTCCGGTTCCCTTTATTCTCACATGTAAATTTAGCCCTATGAGGTAGTAAAACCTTTCCATGTGTATCGTTAAACGTATTTGAAAAAAGGATAAAGGGGTACCCCTTTTGAAGTTATTTCAATTAAACACCGTATTTGTATTTGCTATCACACCGATGAAACAAGTTTCGAAACTAATGTCTTCTAATTTTTAAAACTTTTCTTTTAATTCTTTATGGAATGGCATTAAACCTACTTAAATGCACTTTGCAAATTTTTCTCTTTCAACCTTTTCTCAGTCAATCAGTCGCTCTCACTTTTGTTCTACCTCGTCAGTCCCACACTTCTTTTCGTCTGTTTTCAGGGAAAGAGAGCAATGCTTTCCTTCACAACAGGCGGGAGAGAGACGGCGTTCACGACGACAGGGATAATGGGGGACATGGAGGTTATGTTGTGGCCAATACAGGTACAATACCCAGCGGGTACCAGTACAATTAATTTTTCAGTGACATCTCACGTGCACTGATATGACTCTTACATGCGTCAAGATACTGATGTCGTCGCATTAGGTAGGCTATAGGCCTATACTAAGAGCAATGTGAAAGTTTACGTTGAAATACCAGCTGATGAATTTTTCTACACGTGTACAGATTCAAGCCCTATAATTGCTTCATTTCCAGCATTCATTTTTGTTGGACTATATTTGGTATTTGAATCCAATGCCTGATGTATAGGCCCTATTGCATAAGCTATTTCGTCTTCTGTACCCAAGGCAATGCTTCATTAGAATTAGACCCAGTTCTCATACCTAGGTCGATCTAGCGGGATCGACCCTTCTCCGATGGGATTCTCACTAAATTGCATTCAGATGATGCGGCTTAAATGTCTGGCACGCCTACTGAAGCTGTTAGGGGGTAATTAATTAGGCCTATCGTTTAGCATCGGAAATGGGTCGATCCTGCTAGATGGATCTAGGTATGGGAATACGGCCTTAGAATAGAATTTTGAGTTACTAAGGTGGGTGCATTTTGCCCAATCAACCGAGATTGAAAAGGACAGGGGGATGTATTGTAACTTTTTATCTTAGTTATCATTTCAGGGGAAAGGCCCAAAAAATGTTTGGTAGGTCCCTATTTTACGTACAGGGCGAACGGTGCCATTTGTTACGGTTTAGAACTATGATAATATTCAGCTAGTCAAAATTCTAATATCACGAGGAGACCATTGGTGTGATTTTTCGGACACCCACTAAATCCGCCACTGCCATTTAATCGTAGCCTCCTACTAAAATCGAAGTTCACCCAGACCTTTGTATAGATAGGGGCCTATAGGCCCTACATACTCCTTGCTTAGACCAAATTCCATTCGGCATCTCGCTTGGGCGAACTGCAAATATAGGCCTACCTGGAATTGAATGTCGACACTGGCATGATATACGACGGTAGCCCTGGCATTTTTAAGTACATAAGTATGATATTTGTTTGCAAGCTAGCCATTAGGCTACCCATATCAAAACACTATGCAATGGTGTGATGAAAGTGTTGAAAAATATAATGATTTTCTATACGTGCTTTTTCATTTATACCCTTGTTTGTTATATCTGTTATTATCATTGATGTCATGACAAATCTAACTATCATATTACATTTCATTCACAGTTTGGGGTGCTACATTTTTGCGGTTTGGAAGTACTGGCCCCCAACATAGTTTCTCCTGATTACCTCGACCAATCACAGCGAGAGGCTCTACTTCAAGAATGGGCCACTAGGTTACGCCACATAAACCAAGAAAAGCCATTGGATTTCCTCCACCTTGACTGTTTCAGCGCCTCCAAGGGGTTTCAGCTGAGTGACGAGTTCTTGCAGAGCAAACGCGCGACAGGGGACGTAGCACCCACGGTAGGGCAACATATGGGGAAGAGGTTTGCAGTTGGAAGTATGATTCCACAGAGACTTAATACGAAGGACTAAAAGAATTTAACCTTTTCTTTGAGAAAGCCCATATTACAACGATCCTTCCAATCTGTTTTGTTAATTTTACACACCAGAGACACGGTTCACAAATTATCTAGGATTAAGTAAAAGGTATCATCTGCTGGACAGAAAAACAACAAGCACAAATAGTGTTCAAATATAGATTCATCATTGTCAAAAGAATTATCTCTCAGAGTCAACTTTTCTGTCCGTCCAGGCATAGCAAATAAACTTTGGACCTTGTGAAAAGGGCCACAAGTGTACTGACACTGTCGAGGTCCAGGCTCACGAATTTGACCAAAATATTTAAGATATTAAGTCGACTGTCACATAATAGACACTGTTTAATGATGAGAATTAAAGTAAACAAATATGACCTGGAGTAAACTTGTTTTCCACCCCAACATAAGGATATAGGTATGCGATACATACCGAGAGAAAGTAGGGCCTACTCGCATTTAACTAAAAAAACACACCCAAAACCGAATATTTAGCGTATATTGCCAAGGTCACATAACATAGTAAAGTAAATCTTTTGTATGACAGCTTGAGGTTAAAGCAGGACAGATACAGCGAGACTTTAAGTGTTTAAATACCTCATATGGAGACAACACATTCAGTGCTTCAGAAACGATTCACCTTTTGTCAAATGACAGATGATAGGCCTACATTGAAATTTTCTAAATGACTGGGGCTTATCGTGATAGCCAGTTCTTTAGGATTATCTAGGTGTTACTGGTTGCGAGTTATTTACATATTTATATTAAATAAAGGGTTGTTCACCACCTGTAATTTTCCTCAATGTGAAATTTCTACATGATAAAATATAGAACAGATTATTTTGAAGTGATTCAATATGAATTTTGAAGATCCACTGCGCTATGGACAAAATTGGAGCCATTATCAACAACCACTGATCTTCAATCCCCCCCCCCCCCACCCCCCTAGGAGGGAAGATCAAGGATATTAGACAAAAGTCAAGTATAGGGTAGGAATGTCGGGTTATCAAACACAATGCCCATCTTAAAAGTAAAGATATTATGGTATACGTAAAAAGAACAACGAATTGAAATAATCTGCTATCAGCTTGTTTCATTGTAAAATACGTACGTACCATATGCATAAGGTGGGTTCGATGGAACCCCGCGAGTCCCCTCCGGGCTCGTTACAAATTTGCGTTTCAGGTCACCCAAATGCATTTGTGCCTGCTCATAGCAATTACCGGTACTTGACACAGCCAGTGGTTAAACCAGTAGTGCGTTTAATGTGTTTTCTTGAACTCTGTAATTTTACATTGTTATTTATTTATCGGCATGGAGCGTCCTTCAGCCAAGGACTTGATAAAAGGATTTGAGAGCGGCGGAGTCAAAGGGAAAAAGCTTCACGTGCTGTTCGTGTACGCGCACCAAGAACCCAAATCCTTCAACGGGGCTTTGAAAGATGTCGCCGTGGAGGTCCTACGTGAATTAGGACACACTGTGGAGATATCGGACTTGTACGCCCAGAACTTCAACCCTCTTTGTACAAGAAACGAGATCAAAGGTTAGGACCCCTTTTCAATCCTTTTCGTGTTTTATATTTTGTTTAAAAGTTTATCCCATTGTAACAGTGTGGTTTATTCCTTTTTAGTGAAAAAGGAAGTTTTAATGAATTAATACGTTTACATAAGCTATCCCCACCCCTGTTAGAAACCGCTCTAAACACGATTTCAGTTTTGATATCTATTCCCTATCTAAGAAGTCAAAAAGATAACTGGATAGAAAACCTTTTATTGAGTAGAGTAACCAATCTGTTGCTGACAAACATAGAAGAATTTATTACAAAGTTATCACAGGTTGTGTAGGTACTTGTAAATAGAAATTATATGTTGAACGCTATAAATAGTTTTAGACGCAGGCAAATCAGATTATAAGGTTCTTCCCCCTCCCTACGTGTACATCCTGCAGCTTCAATGCAGATATGCTGAGCGAAACGACATCCCGGCACCATAAGAAACGTTTCTCTTCACCCGCAACTTCGCCTCACCTTGGATTATCATGATCTTGAGCTGTTATAGTCTCGATTGAAATTAATTCAATAATGCTAATTTGTGGTAAAGATAAGTACTTAACTTCTGTAATTAACTTGTTTTCGTTTTAATTTTTAGGGGAAATACTAAATCCCAACCACTTCAATTACAGCCAAGAGACACAAAATACTTATAAGAATAGTACTCTCCCCGAGGACATTGTCTCTGAACAAGAAAAGCTTAATAGAGCTGATTTGGTCATTTTCCAATTCCCAATGTATTGGATGTCCTTCCCGGCTATCCTGAAAGGCTGGTTTGACAGGGTGTTTACCTTGGGATATGCATTTACATTAGAAGCAATGTGTGATGAAGGTCTTCTTAAAGTGAGTATAAACAAGGAGTTATAACTCCTTGGTATAAATTACAGTCATTAACATCGCAATACAACAGTCAAAGTACTGACGACGGTCTGGAGGAACATACAAATGTATTTGGGACAAATTGTGCGTGTGTAATCTTTACCAATTACGCTGCTATTGTGTTAACGCGTAACCTCCCGTTTGTTTTTTACATTTTTTTATCTCAAGGTACAAGTCTTAAGGTCAGGCAACGCAGACGTCGTAAAACTGCTCTATTGCGTGACCCGTCATCACAGAAGTCACCCATGCAGTGACCGTATTTTGCCGGCTTCCGACATGCGTTCACCACAGGGAGGAATCCAGCGTTAGCATTATATACAAGACCGTACTCAGCAATTTTCAACACGGGTCTATTTCTGAAAAAGTGGACCTTTCTTCATAAAACGTATACCTAGATCAAATTTCACACAGAGTGGACCTTTTCCTGTCAAAAAGGACGTTTTTTTTAACCCTCCAAGCTCAACCTCTCTTCGGGCCTGAATTTTTATGATAATTCGTTTGTTCGTNGTTTGCCGATTGACGGTCAACCAATCAGCGTTTTCACCAAATTTTGGTGAAAAATTTTGAAACTTGGATTCGATTGGCTTATATAAACTAGGTCAAACTATTTTCGTCAGAGGTAACTTGACACGATGAACATAGGCTATAGTGAAGAGGTTAGTGTCAAGTTATCTCTGAAGCTCGGGGTGCAAAACAGGGGCGGATCCAGAGATATTTTCTGACAGTCTTCCAAATTATCTTTGTTAATCCATCCTCCATTTTTGACCGTCTTCCGACAGAAAACCTTAGATACCCGTCATTGTAAACTTAAAAATCTGACCGTCTTCCGGAAGACCCAGAAGACGGCCTAAATCCGCCCCTGCAAAAAATGTTTGGTAGGTCCCTATTTTACGGGTAGACCGGGGCTAAACGCCCCCCTTAAGCAAGAAACATCACAATTTTCCCTGCTGAAGGTATAGACCGGTCAAAGTGGGTGTTAACTATGAAGGGCTGACTAGACTACAAACTGATACTAACACTTTTGGAAACAAACAAAAGAAAAACCTTATAGGTAAAAAATAGGTAAATTATAAAATCGGCCTTTTTGCCCCATGGCTGGGGCATTACGCCTCGCACCACGGAGCTAAACGCCCACCGTGGGCGTCTTGCCCCAAACTATAGGCGTTATGCCCCGCCTTTGTACAAAGCAAAATAAAATCAAATTATATTTCTACGAGACAACTTAGTAAGCCTTTAAAAGCAACATATAATATTTTGGGGTACTGAGATAATAAAAATACCCATCAAATTTATTCAGAATGACCTGTAATTCTACTCTTTACGACAGGGCACTGTGATACTTCCAAAATTAAGTTCCTAGTACAGTCACTTGCTTTGGCTTTTCCCCATATAAGTGTTATAACTGATGATATACAATAAAAAAACATGCATGAAAGAACACTCCCGCATCTTTTTAGAATTATTTTTTATTTAAAAACGAAAGGGGGCAAAACGCCCAGTGATCGGGGCAAAACGCCCACTATAGGCGTTTTGCCCCATATCAGCATGGGCGTTTTGCCCCAAAGTGAGATTTTGTATATTTTTTCAAAATTCGGCGGGAAAAGTTTTATACAATCTGACTTCATCGAAACTTGTATGGAGGTCTGATACCATCCTATCTGTCACCAACAAAGTTTTTTGAATTCGTGCATTTGGTAGGTGGTGTCACTGATGTTAAGGAAAAGGCTAAATAACAGTAAACAAGGCAAAAATGAACAAATTATCATAAAATGCTTATTTTTTAGTTTGTGGTCATCTCCGTCATGGAGGATAAGTCTGCTGGAAATCGGAAGTGGACAAAACATCACGAGACGCGTATTTATACGTAATACCTGAAAAAAAGCGGGTGGGCGTTTGACCCCGACTGGGCGTTTAGCCCCGGTCTACCCTACAGGGGGAACGGTGCCATTTGGTACGGTTTAGAACTATGATAATATTCAGCTAGTCAAAATTCTAATATCACGAGTAGACCATTGGTGTGATTTTTCGGACACCCACTAAATCCGCCACTGCCATTTAATCGTAGCCTCCTACTAACGTTCACCCAGACCTTTGTATAGATAGGCCCTACAAACTCCTTGCTTAGACCAAATTCCATTCGGCATCTCGCTTGGGCGAACAGCAAATATAGGCCTACCTGGAATTGAATGTCGACACTGGCATGATATGCGACGGTAGCTCTGGCATTTTTAAGTACATAAGTATGATATTTGTATGCAAGCTAGCCATTAGGCTACCCATATCAAAACACTATGCAATGGTGTGATGAAAGTGTTGAAAAATATAATGATTTTCTATACATGCTTTTTCATTTATACCCTTGTTTGTTATATCTGTTATTATCATTGATGTCATGACAAATCTAACTATCATTTTTACATTTCATTCACAGTTTGGGGTGCTACATTTTTGCGGTTTGGAAGTACTGGCCCCCAACATAGTTTCTCCTGATTACCTCGACCAATCACAGCGAGAAGCTGTTCTTCAAGAATGGGCCACTAGGTTACGCCACATTATACAAGAAAAGCCATTGGATTTCATTCCCGTCGACTGTTTCAGCTCCTCCAAGGGGTTTCAGCTGAGTGACGAGTTCTTGCAGAGCAAACGCGCGACAGGGGACGTAGCACCCACGGTAGGGCAACATATGGGGAAGAGGTTTGCAGTTGGAAGTATGATTCCACAGAGACTTAATACGAAGGACTAAAAGAATTTAACCTTTTCTTTGAGAAAGCCCATATTACAACGATCCTTCCAATCTGTTTTGTTAATTTTACACACCAGAGACACGGTTCACAAATTATCTAGGATTAAGTAAAAGATATAATCTGCTGGACAGAAAAACAACAAGCACAAATAGTGTTCAAATATAGATTCATCATTGTCAAAAGAATTATCTCTCAGAGTCAACTTTTCTGTCCGTCCAGGCATAGCAAATAAACTTTGGACCTTGTGTCATACTTGTAAATTAATGCCTTAAATGAATTTTCGGTTTTCGCAACTTTTCATTGAAATAGCAACTATAAATATGATCAATTCCATTACATTCAGTCTAATTTCCAGAAGTTTATAAGGTTGTTATATAACAATATGTGTCCTGAATTACATAGATGTGCGGGTTAAATGTTGTTAGGATGTATACTTATATAATCAGTTTACAGGTCAAGTTTAAAGAAGTCTGTTCTAAGTCACACTAGGTAACTCAAGTAAACAAGAAGCCATATCTTTGATTAACAAATACATCCACCTCAAATGTATTTAGGAATGGTCCTCTGCCTTGTAACTATATTATTCACCTTGATCAATCAGTTTAAGTTATCAACCTATCTGTCCACTAGTAGAAGCCATTTAGTGTTCAGTCTGGAAGTCTTCCTTATCGCATGTGTAATTGAATTAAAGTGACCACTCTGGCAACCCACCTGGCTGGGAAGCCAATGTAATGTAATTATATATGTGAAGGTATATAAAGATAGAAATAAAGGTAGAAGTCAGTAGTCAGTACTCAGAGAGAGGACACTGCATGCTGATCTCTAGAAAGCAGAACATGACGTTATGTTACTTGTGAAAAGGGCCACAAGTGTACTGACACTGTCGAGGTCCAGGCTCACGAATTTGACCAAAAGATTTAAGATATTAAGTCGACTGTCACATAATAGACACTGTTTAATGATGAGAATTAAAGTAAACAAATATGACCTGGAGTAAACTTGTTTTCCACCCCAACATAAGGATATAGGTATGCGATACATACCGAGAGAAAGTAGGGCCTACTCGCATTTAACTAAAAAACACACCCAAAACCGAATATTTAGCGTATATTGCCAAGGTCACATAACATAGTAAAGTAAATCTTTTGTATGACAGCTTGAGGTTAAAGCAGGACAGATACAGCGAGACTTTAAGTGTTTAAATACTTCATATGGAGACAACACATTCAGTGCTTCAGAAACGATTCACCTTTTGTCAAATGACAGATGATAGGCCTACATTGAAAATATTCTAAATGACTGGGGCTTATCGTGATACCCAGTTCTTTAGGATTATCTAGGTGTTACTGGTTGCGAGTTATTTACATATTTATATTAAATAAAGGGTTGTTCACCACCTGTAATTTTCCTCAATGTAAAATTTCTACATGATAAAATATAGAACAGATTATTTTGAAGTGATTCAATATGAATTTTGAAGATCCACTGCGCTATGGACAAAATTGGAGCCATTATCAACAACCACTGATCTTCAATCCCCCCCCCCCCCCACCCCCCTAGGAGGGAAGATCAAGGATATCAGACAAGAGTCAAGTATAGGGTAGGAATGTCGGGTTATCAAACACAATGCCCATCTTAAAAGTAAAGATATTATGGTATACGTAAAAAGAACAACGAATTGAAATAATGTGCTATCAGCTTGTTTCATTGTAAAATACGTACGTACCATATGCATAAGGTGGGTTCGATGGAACCCCGCGAGTCCCCTCCGGGCTCGTTACAAATCTGCGTTTCAGGTCACCCAAATGCATTTGTGCCTGCTCATAGCAATTACCGGTACTTGACACAGCCAGTGGTTAAACCAGTAGTGCGTTTAATGTGTTTTCTTGAACTCTGTAATTTTACATTGTTATTTATTTATCGGCATGGAGCGTCCTTCAGCCAAGGACTTGATAAAAGGATTTGAGAGCGGCGGAGTCAAAGGGAAAAAGCTTCACGTGCTGATCGTGTACGCGCACCAAGAACCCAAATCCTTCAACGGGGCTTTGAAAGATGTCGCCGTGGAGGTCCTACGTGAATTAGGACACACTGTGGAGATATCGGACTTGTACGCCCAGAACTTCAACCCTCTTTGTACAAGAAACGACATCAAAGGTTAGGACCCCTTTTCAATCCTTTTCGTGTTTTATATTTTGTTTAAAAGTTTATCCCATTGTAACAGTGTGGTTTATTCCTTTTTAGTGAAAAAGGAAGTTTTAATGAATTAATACGTTTACATAAGCTATCCCCACCCCTGTTAGAAACCGCTCTAAACACGATTTCAGTTTTGATATCTATTCCCTATCTAAGAAGTCAAAAAGATAACTGGATAGAAAACCTTTTATTGAGTAGAGTAACCAATCTGTTGCTGACAAACATAGAAGAATTTATTACAAAGTTATCACAGGTTGTGTAGGTACTTGTAAATAGAAATTATATGTTGAACGCTATAAATAGTTTTAGACGCAGGCAAATCAGATTATAAGGTTCTTCCCCCTCCCTACATGTACATCCTGCAGCTTCAATGCAGATATGCTGAGCGAAACGACATCCCGGCACTCGCAGAAACGTTTCTCTTCACCCGCAACTTCGCCTCACCTTGGATTATCATGATCTTGAGCTGTTATAGTCTCGATTGAAATTAATTCAATAATGCTAATCTGTGGTAAAGAAAAGTACTTAACTTCTGTAATTAACTTGTTTTCGTTTTAATTTTTAGGGGAACTACTAAATCCCAACCACTTCAATTACAGCCAAGAGACACAAAATACTTATAAGAATAGTACTCTCCCCGAGGACATTGTCTCTGAACAAGAAAAGCTTAATAGAGCTGATTTGGTCATTTTCCAATTCCCAATGTATTGGATGTCCTTCCCGGCTATCCTGAAAGGCTGGTTTGACAGGGTGTTTACCTTGGGATATGCATTTACATTAGAAGCAATGTGTGATGAAGGTCTTCTTAAAGTGAGTATAAACAAGGAGTTATAACTTCTTGGTATAAATTACAGTCATTAACATCGCAATACAACAGTCAAAGTACTGACGACGGTCTGGAGGAACATACAAATGTATTTGGGACAAATTGTGCGTGTGTAATCTTTACCAATTACCCTGCTATTGTGTTAACGCGTAACCTCCCGTTTGTTTTTTACATTTTTTTTTATCTCAAGGTACAAGTCTTAAGGTCAGGCAACGCAGACGTCGTAAAACTGCTCTATTGCGTGACCCGTTATCACAGAAGTCACCCATGCAGTGACCGTATTTTGCCGGCTTCCGACATGCGTTCACCACAGGGAGGAATCCAGCGTTAGCATTATATACAAGACCGTACTCAGCAATTTTCAACACGGGTCTATTTCTGAAAAAGTGGACCTTTCTTCATAAAACGTATACCTAGATCAAATTTCACACAGAGTGGACCTTTTCCTGTCAAAAAGGACGTTTTTTTTAACCCTCCAAGCTCAACCTCTCTTCGGGCCTGAATTTTTATGATAATTCCTTTGTTCGTAATATATCCAGTGAGGACTAATTTTGGAACCGAGTCTTCCGAAACGGTCTCATATTATTATCCCCTCAATTCTCAAATGCAGTTTTTAGCTCCATGTGGCTATCACACCCCGTCATGTGTATCCCTTAACGCATTTGAAAAAGGGAAAATCCTTTTAAAAGTGATTTCATCACTTAAACAGCCGTATTTTGCGTTGTATTTGCCATCACACTGATAACATAGGCCTATTGCGTCGAAACTCTTTTATTTCTTTATTTATTTCTTAAATTCTTTACGGAATGACATTTAACCTTCTTGAATGCACTTTTCAAATGTCAACCTCTTCTCTCAGTCAATCAGTCGCTCTCACTTTTGCTCTAACTAGTCAGTCACACACTTCTTTTCGTCTGTTTTCAGGGAAAGAGAGCAATGCTTTCCTTCACAACAGGCGGGAGAGAGACGGAGTTTACTGCGACAGGGATAAGGGGGGACATGGAGGTTATACTGTGGCCGATACAGGTACAATACCCAGCGGGTTTCACGATTTACATGTGTGCTAATATACGTCAAGATACTGATACTGTTGCAGTAGAAAGATACATGCAGCACTATGAATGTTTGCTCAATTAGAGCAATTGAAAAACTTTTCTACACGTTTACAGATTAAAGTCCGGAACGCTTCATTTACGGCATTCTTTTTTTGTTGGACAATATATGGTATTTGGATTAAATATCACATGTGCGTTGCATGATATAATGATTCTTCTGTACCCGAGGCAATGCTAAGGAGTAGTATAGAATTTTGAGTAAATAAATGTTGTTGTGAAAATGAATAAAAATCCCACTCGGTGTCTCTACCCGAATTTGAACTGTAGCTCTAGCATTTGTAAGTGTTCAAGTTTATTTTAGTTTTCAAGTTACCCATATTTAAGTTGCGTCCAAACACAATATATTGGTGTGATAAAAGTTTAGAAAATATACAGATATTTTCTATACATATTTGCTTATTTAGGCTCCTTTTTGTACCTGTATCGTCATTGATGTCATCACACATCTTATTATCATTCTTTTATTTCATTCTCAGTGTGGGTTGCTACATTTCTGCGGTTTGGAAGTTTTGGCCCCCAACATAGTTTACTGCCCGGATTGCCTCGACCAATCACAGCGAGAAGCTGTTCTTCAAGAATGGGCCACTAGGTTACGCCACATTATACAAGAAAAGCCATTGGATTTCATTCCCGTCGACTGTTTCAGCGCCTCCAAGGGGTTTCAGCTGAGTGACGAGTTCTTGCAGAGCAAACGCGCGACAGGGGACGTAGCACCCACGGTAGGGCAACATATGGGGAAGAGGTTTGCAGTTGGAAGTATGATTCCACAAAGACTTAATACGAAGGACTAAAAGCACTTATAACAAAGCAAATCTGGTGAAAGTTGCGCGAAAGCATAGTTGAACAATATTTTGTTGAAGCAAGCTATTTGGGAAAGGAAAGGAAATATGAATATTAGGAACCGGACTTTTGAAATATATGAATCTTCTGACCAAAAGGAAACCAAAAACTACCAATTTTAAAGATCCGTGGACAATTCGGATTTTAGGAACTGCATAACGCATCAGATTTAAATTTAAATGTAAGGGGCATTGGGATTTTAAACTCAATATGTGAATCTATTATCATATATATATATATATATTATTGACCATAACACTCTCCAAGTTTGAAATTCACGTTTTTTTATTTAAGATGTAATTGATTCAAAACGAAAAATTCTTTCAAATACAAATATTTCTTCAAACAAACAATCTCGAGGATATTTCTAGAGTAAAAGATTTGGAACGAAGTAAAGACTTGCGGAGGGGGGCGGACGGTTGACGCTTTAATTTGAATTAAAGTCAGGTATGCCAAACCATAATACACAACGTATTTATTGAATTCATATTCTCGCTCTTAAGATTTCCATTTTTCAATCAAAGTCAAGTGATGGGAAAACAAAGGCACAATCTGAATTCGCCTCTACAAGTCGGTATTCTCCTCTTCAGTGGACGGTAGACGGGTCACCACATTATCGGCGATTCGTTCTTGAGTTTCCTTCGGGCTCGGAGACGGACAGTGGATGATAACCTGTGGGACCTGGGGGCGACTCTGATGTCTTCTACGGACAGGTTGAAGAGCGGTGCCGAACACCTCAGGAGTAGCGACTCCCAATGGTATACCTGGGCTGCCATCCGGGCTACCGCCTTCAGAACGTAGCTCGTCAGAGTGCGCATGCTCGTCAAGCGCTCTGAAACGCCGCAGAGGAGAGAGGACGAAGAAGCCATTCACTTTGCTAGGGGATAACCTATAGAGAATCAGCACAAAGATCCCCACAAGGAAAAGCCCAAAGCCTGGAAAAAAAGTCAACCAACAAAAAGTTTAAGTAACTTAATTACTAAGTTCTAATCCGCGTCTGAAAAAGAAGTCTTTACACAAACAAACCTTTATGAATGTAACCGAGGGGGGCGTTCTTATAATTTTTTTTAGTATCAACAGTATTTGCCGCAACACCAGGCACGATCTATTAGAAACAGCTAAGCTAATGTATTTAGAATTAAGATGTAAACCAGTTTGACGCGAAGTATAATCTTGTCTAGCCACATACTGAGTTCTCCTACTGCATATTACAGATGCCGGTTTGTATCTCACCTTACTGGCAAAGCGAAAATTGTTTAAATTCCCACAAATAACTTATAAAAAAACGACCGATAGACTTAAGGGTTGGTCACACAAAGTACATTGTACCTTGCACATATACTTTCCTAAAATGTACATGCACTAATAAAGATATTTGGACTTACCTGTGAAAAGATTCAGCCAAAAACACCAACCAAAATCTGCGTTGCTTATCTTAAGGTCTGCGTCCCTGAAGCTGATAACCATGGCGGAGTCTGGCTGTAAGAGAGCGTACACACCATTGGCTGCACACTGCAGGAGACCCGTAAGGACGGTCACTATTGCGCCCCGACTGGGGCAGAAACTGAACAACAAGATGGACAGAATGCACAGCGAAAATGCCGCCCTGAAATACATGACATAAAGGGTATAAGATGACGTGTTATAATTCTGAGCCTAGGAATAGGAATAATCAAGCAGGGTAGGAAGAAATACAGTTTAAATGTTAGATATGGTGTTTTCTGACAACGCCACAAAAAGGTATAAATATAAGCGCATCTGTTAGCTGGTTTCCAGTAACCCCTTTTTTTTTAAACCATTCATTTATTTGCATTACTTTTTAGATTTTAAATTTTGATAAGATTTCACGAATACGAAGGAAGTTATACAACATTTCTTTTATTTATAAAAATGGGAAAAACTACTGTACAACCTCAAATTGCCACTTGGACAATGAAGGTTTTGGCATACTGTAAATTTCAGCAATTTCCTTCATGTACATATCTTGAAGAGAACCACGACAATGACAATTCCTATCGATTGCACAAAATAGTATAAGCTATTTTAGCCGACAGAATGTCACGTGCACAAAGTAAAAGGAAATCGACTACGGTTCCTAGCAAACTAATTTAACTAATTTTCTGCAACAAAAGATCTTACCACAGCATTATTCGCGTAAAGTAACCAGCCAATCGTACATATCTGCCCTTCCTCAGACCGCCTCCATCAAGGGCTAAATACTCGGCTATGGAAATAATCGGAAGAGGCATCCCTTTTTTGAGGAAATCTTTGAAAGTAGGTTTTAAAGCCGACTCCGCCTTCCCACCTTTGAAATACAACCAAGATTGAAAACAGAAATATCAGTAATAAAAGCACATATTTTCTTCTTAATTACTGTACATGAGTATAAATTCCTCACATAATTTCCGCGTAATTCCTTGATATATATCAGGTATTTTTGCTCTTTTTAATATTTATATTCGAAAATATCGACGAAAACATCGACGAATTATTTATATTAAGTTGTACATCGTGAACCAACGCAACTCAACACAATCCTCATTTGTTCCATTTGTCCTCTGTTAGAGTCTAAGATCAAAATTGTTTATTGAATGTCAGAGAAATTTACGTCGATTGATCTTACCTGTGTACAAAAAAATCCTCTCGTTGTAATTGATAGTGTCGCCTCTTTGCTTCACCGGATCTCCTGAAATATATGTAAAATCGCCTTTGAAAACCGTACAGATACATTTGTACAAAGCTAGAAAATATAGTATATAAATATCGTAATTCAAAATATTGTACCTTTATAACTGAAGTAAATGACGCAGTTATTATGTAATATCTATTTTCAATCAAGATATAGACTGGCGATTTAAAGGAAAGAGCCACCAAAGTTGTAACTAGAAAAACTCTCCGAGAGTGCAGATCTCCGCCAAGGCAGCAATTTTTTTTTATTATTATTGATTGATTATTGATCCGGATCACCACCAAAAACTAATAATCTGTTCCTTGGCCCACTTCTGATAGTTCCTGAATTTCATCAAAATCGGTCCATAACTTTTTGAGATATGTTGTTGACAGACAAACAAACAAACAAACAAACAGGGGTGAAAACATAACCTCCTTGGCGGAGGTATTAAATGTGATAAAGTAGACACCGAGACGTGGAAGATTAACGGGCAGCTCGTAAATTGGAATTTCTAATCAAAAACGTTTTGCCATCAGCTTCACTCGAGCTTTGAGATTGCTATAGCACGGGAGCTTATTACGCATTCATCCATAATATCAAAAAATAAGGACAGTTTCCCCTTTTTCCAAAAATTATGATGCCAGATATTTCCTCGAATTCTTCATACACACCCTTTCTCAAATTGTATGTGTGTGGGAAAGGGGCGTTTGTCTCTCTTTTATTTTTCATTTTTACCCTGGACATTCTTTCTTTCACTATATGTATCTTTTTCTATTCAAGGTTTTCTTAAGGAGAGCGTAATACATCCTTTCTTTGTTTGTCAATAAACGTTGTTGAATATTAACATAGCGCTCGCCATCATACAGAAGTGAGACCAACTTACCAACCAGTGTGATGTTCACAGATTTCAGTCCAATGTGGATCCCAATGGCGACCTTGACCTGGTCCTTGCTGTATGCTCTATAATCTGTCCGTGTTATAACAGAAGCTTCCTTCCAGCCCGTCCCATGCAAACAGACTGAAAACAAGGATTTCGGTTTGATTATATCACCATTTATCGGATGCAATGGACTATACGTTTGGTGTGGATTATATTTAAAGAATGGGGCGCGATTTGACTTCTATTGTCTCAGCAAATGTGGAGTGTGACCAGAGATGAATAAAAACTAAAATAAAATATAGCTGTTTTGGAAGTAAAAGACGTACAAAGAGTTTAGTGATTTTTAAAGATGTCTATAAGAGATGACCACTAATATTATCTCAGCTATGTCACCTGGACTTTGTATTTCATTCCCTTACTCACCCAGTATTGACGTTATGACTCCGATGCCAAATAAAACCTTCAAGGCAGTGTTCGTCCGCTGAAATGGCACTGATACCTCACTGTTGTGTAGATTTTAATAAATCATTCAAAACCGAGCGATTTTCTTTCAGTACCTGGATTTATTTATTTATTTATTCATTTATTTATTTATTTATTTATATTCATTTTTTGAAATTCAAATTAATCACTTATTGATCGATGAAAAATTTAATTAAAAGAAAAAAACAAAACCCTGACAGCAAAATCCAATCTTTTTGGTTAAAAAAACCCATAGATTTCAGTTAATTGTATTCGAGCCCTACGGCACCTACCTCCCCGTAGGATATCCCAGCCGCCGCCAACACGAACACCGTCACCAGCAGGACGCCAAGGGAGACCACCCCGTGTAACTCTATGTCCCCGGTCACCGGCGTGAACTGGGGAGAGTACAGTGCCAGACCTCGGTTGGTACGGAACAGGTCAAACCACATGGTGCTTGATATCTGATGCCACTCGTCCTGTCGAGATGCTGTAAAAAATATAAAATCTTCAAATAGATGCACAACATCTAACCAACAGGCCGTTTCGTGAAACGAGAGCAAAGTATGGCAGTTGCAAAATCATTCCCCAAACTGAGGAGAATTGCTCTAAGAAGGACCGTGGCTTGATATCAACCAAATTGACAAAAATCGATTCAGAGCTTATAAACTATGCAGCCATACCGTTGCTGGTCGTCCTTCAGTTCTCCTCTGTGCAATGGTAATCATATAAGCACCTACCGTGGGGTCATTGACTCCGTAAGGTACCTGACTAGTGACAAGAAATCTGTTCACTCGAACCCAACGCACACGGTTACTTGTTGGCTGAGCTACCGACCACGGGTTCTTATGCAATATTACCACGATGTACTGTTTAATGATACAAGGTACGTTTGATTCTTGTTCCACGTCCCATGGAAAAAAATCAAATATTTATCAAAAAGAGATAATACCTGTATGGATAAGTAAAAAAGCTTTGTTAAGTCGATGACTTAGACCATACCTAACGATGTGTGCCATTTTTTGTTTTTGGTTTAAAATCTGTTCATGTTGGGCTGTGTCCAGGGAGGTTCCGTCTAACTCCTTTGAAAGTCAGAGTTATTTAAACTTGTATAAAAACATAAGACTGAACAGTGAAGGCGAAGATTTTTTGGGATGATGCGTTCTAGTGTATTCTGGTGGATATTGATAAGTGATCAGTTATCGCACTATTCGCTTGGATACATCATTTGTCCTGCTAGTAATGAACACAAAAAGAGCATTCAGTTTTGGGCATGCTACTCCGTTTGCTCCGTTTACTACACTGAGCATGCGTACGGGCCTATACCGGTACAGTGAAGAGCAATCATTATAAACCGTTTGAAAACGTATCCTGTACCTGAGTTGAAAGAAGTTCACACCATGGTTACAAGCAGCGGAGGAGTGCGCATGAGCAAAGATTTCAATATCTGGTTATGTTGAGGAAAAGGCATTGGGCACAAGGCGGGAGCTGAAGACAGACAGACACGGAGGGAGTTTAGATACATCTGAATAAATGCCGTGAACATGGGCAATGCAACGTGTGCCTCAGATACTTTAAGAGTCGCCGTTCTTGTAGGTGAGTGTGTACTGTTTTCTGAGACAAATATGCATGAAAAAAACAATTTTTATCTCACAACTGTGACACTCAATCTAGCAAGTGAAATAAATGCCTTTACTCGTGAGGACTCGTTTTCTTTTTGGACGGTTTGCGATGCAGACTGGGGAAGTGAAATTATCATGAACGTGCAACATATTTGCAGAACTTTTTAAATAAAACTCTCCGAGCCACAGGATTTCTAGAGTCGAGTTTCAAATACATATGCTGTTTGTAAAGCACGCAACCAAACTTTAAAAATGCGTGTGAACACTATGAACACCAAGATGGATTTGTGTGTGGCACAAATACCAAAGAGTCTTTCATAATATTTGCAATGAACAAAAATAACAAAGCCACGTGTATTACATTGTTTGTCTTTGTACTTTATAATGAAAATTGAACATTATGTAATAGTTTTATTCCTGAAACCTCCAGCTTGTTTACTATGGGGTGCCTCTCTTGGCAAAGAGTCTGGGTTTTCCCGACCTTCTTCCAAACTGGATGATATGGTGGAGTTCCAGCGATATGATGGCTGGTATAACAACAGGGACAACCCTAAGTGGGGAGCACCAGGTATTTCTCTGACACGGTTTTTATGGGTTTTATACTATTTTCAAGTAATCAGAGGGATTTTGTTGAAGACCAGTTTTCTTGGACCATGTGGAAGTTTTACATATACATTAACGTCAGAGGCGAGATTAAATCAATAATGTGATTTTGTACTATTTTATAAACTTCTCTTTGAAATTCATTTCATGTTATATAAAGGTCTTATATATCTTCTTATGCCGATTGAGTAGGTTGAGGTTGAGGTAGAGTTAAAGCTTCCTGAATGGTAATTTTTATCTTATCTTTAATTTTGTGCAGGCAGTACACTTGTCCGCCAACTCCCAACCGCATACGCAGATAGCTCCTACGATTACTCGGGGCCTGATCGGCCACACCCCCGGGACATCAGCCTTGCCATGAAGGGACCCAGCGGGCTGGCCTCCTATATGAACAGGACAGTGATGTTGCCTATATTTGGTAAGTCGGCTTAGATCGTGTAGGTTCGGGTTGATTCAGCAGGGTTCGGATAATATCAGATCGAGTAGGCAAAGTTCGTCTTATCCAAAAAAGAATGAATCTTGGTTCACAAACGCCAAGATGTTCTTATAAATGAAATTTGTATTATTATGGTTTATGGTACACATAATTTTAGATTTAAAAATGTCAGTGATTTCAAATAATCAGCCAGGTTATCTAAATAAAAAGAAAAGAAATCGCGATGTTACCAGTATTGTTTTTATAAAATATATGATATACATCTAACACTAGGGAAATTTGGAAATATTATTCTCACTTTTTTATATATTTTACTTTCATTTACGTAGGCGAGGTAATAGTGATGGAGACGATGAAATCCGTAGGTGCACACTGTCCTATAGAGCTGGACCCTATCCGCCTCCCTAAGTGTGACCAGGAGTACGACCCGAACTGTACAGGAAAGGTGGTCAATTCGTTCTTGAGAGCCAAGTATGACAACAAATGGACGGGACGGTTTCCTGGGAGACCTAGAGAACAGGTAGGATGGAGTGGAGGGTGGCGTGAGGTGTGTGGGTGAGTGGGGTGGGGGTGGGGGGATTATACCCTGACAAGAAGTAGTAATAGTATAGTATATGTAGTGGTAGACTAGTATTACCAGTAGAAATCCTTGCGTGAGTTGCACTGGATATTTTAGGGACAACTGTTATTAATGTTTCCATTTTTGCATTCTTATTTGCAAACGTGTATATACAAAAAAGTACTTTTTTCATAAAACTAGGGAGTTATGAATCCTGTACTGTCGCACATTCTTTTGTTTCTTGTTAAAATATCTGCTCCACATGTAGCTGTTGCAGTCAAACTTTAAAACTGCTGCTCTATCATCAATCACTGCGTTATCTAAAACTTTTGTCATTCGGTTTTGGCCACTCTGAAATAAATAAGTAAATAAGTATATAATTAATTTCAATTTTTCTATTCATTTTCAGAAAAACGCCTTGACTAGCTACATAGACGGGAGTTTCATCTACAGCAAAAAGAAGGCGTGGGCGGACTCTTTACGCTCCTTCCGTGGAGGGAAACTCAAATCCCGCGACCAGGGAAAATTCCCACCCTACAACACCGTCAACCTGCCTTTTCTCAACCCCCCACCGCCCCGTGAACACAAGTTACTCCCGAGAAAACGAATGTGGCGTAAGATTTCTCTCAAATCTGTTCAACTTTTCCACAATTAATAACAGTCATGTAGAAATTCGTGTCGCAATAAAATTCAAAGAATATATGTCTGTTTGTCTATAGGGACCGAGTGTCGTTGGACCTTGTCATCAGATTGGCTAAACTTTTGCCACTACTTCTGTTATTATTTCTAGTATTCTAAGTCCTCGTTTCAGTCTTGGGTGAGGTGAGATCCTTCCAGCATCCGGGGATATTGACATTCGGTGTTCTGTTCTTCCGCTGGCATAATTACCTGGCCGACATGTTCCACAAACGACATCCGGAATGGGACGACGAGCAGCTGTATCGGGCAGCCAGGAGGCGGCTCATTGCCACGCTACAGGTAAGTCTAGGGTCAAGCACCACACCCTTGGCTCTTATCAATATTGTTCTTTATATCAGTAAGGAATATAAGATTGAACTTTTATCTCACTCCTACCGATGGGTTGTCGAACGCGGACCTAAAACGGGGTTCTTTAAGGTTCTTTAGCGTTGAGTATATTGATTCTTTGTAATTGCAATAGCATGAAGAGGAATTTACTTATCAGTTCAAACCTTCTGACCAAACAAATATGAGCAGTCTTTAATGATAATTATACAAATATTTTTACATCTATAGTTTTATGAAACTAGAATAAAGGTGTTAAAGGATACTCGAAAAGCTGCAGCAGTGCTTTATTTTCTCTTGCTGCATTACATTACAGAAAATAGCCATGTACGACTTCTTCCCTGCCTTCACTAATGAAACATTGCCAAAATACACAGGTATTGTGACGTATTTTTACTTTTGAATAGCTTCATGAACAGCTTCATTCTAAAAAACGTAATCACTCGATCTATCTTGTTTCGCAGACTTCAACAAGAAACGTGTATAACTCCTAAAACCAATGGTGACTGCTAATTCAGTTTAAATTGAAAAGTTCGAAAGCAGTTTAATTTGGTTCAAACTCAATGGAATTTAGCAGTTAAAGACGTACATTAATTATTATAATAGGATATAATGACATGATAAACCCCGGGATTTCCCACGTATTTCAATCTGCCGCCTACCGCTTTGGACATTCTATTTCACCGGCCGGATTCTACCGCAGGTGCGTACAGTGGTTTAAACAGCCATAATTTGACATTGGCTATGGGTCTATATGTTTTTACGGTACGCTAGTTACTGATACCGATAAAATTGTCAGGATTGTTCAGAAATGGCCTAAGAATCAATTAGATATTGGTTTTGATTTCTTAAGAAAAGATAGATACCTATAGATAGATAGATAGATGTTTAGATAGAATAGTAATAAATAATGAGGGCTGAGTTAGCTTGGGCATTCAGCTTAAATTTCATGCCATGTGGTTGCAAATGGATAAAAAATATATGGACGTTTTTCATATTCTGTGATTTTCAGAAACAGAAATTGTGAATTTTACAACACCACCACTGTCACCAAGTTTACCGGTTACCCGGGGTTGCGTCTGTGCAACTCATATTTCGTGTCTGATGTAAGTACTTCAGTAACATATGCTTCGCTTCCAGTTTTACAAAAAATTAGAAAAAATTAATTTTGAATAGGTTGAAACGTTTTAAGTGATCTATCATTAATTCATATATTCCTGTTCCTAATTTGATTTATTTATCTGCTAATCTGAATTATTTATTTCCTCAATTAATTTCTTTTATATTCATAAATAATTAATGCTTCAACATGCGTTCATCTGTCTTGAGATTTATTTATCCACCTACTATTCACTTGTTTATCGCTTTTTTATTTTATTTTGGCACATTTCAGGAATCTATGGAATTCGGCTTGGAACCAATGCTGCTGGGAATGTCGTCTCAAATCACAGAAAGAGAGGACCACATCCTTGTGGACGACCTCCGGGGTAAGTGACGTCAGGAAGTTTACTTTTTTCAATTAAAATATCTTTTTTTTTTTTTTTTTTTTTTTTTTTTTTTTTTTTTTTTTTTGAAAGATTGGCGCAGTAAAAGTATTTGTAAGATACAGGCGGTTCATCATACCGTCACTGGATAGGCGCACAGGTATTACACAGTTATGACATGTAAGGCACAAGGGTGGAAAGTAGCTTGGGTTTGTCTCGTTATGATGTGAACGGAGGAGAGGCAACTGTCAAACTAAAAGAAGATAGAGTGGACGGGGGCACACACTGCGCCCTTCGCGTCCCGCCATTGAAACCTAACATAAAAATCTAATTTGAGAGTGCACTGAATAATGCAAAAATCTATTATACATGTATGAACGTCCATGTCTCAAAAAAAAAAAAAAAAAACTTGGTTTCCAAGGTCAGCGTTAAATCATTAAAAAATGGTACACGTGCAAATTTGATATAAGGATAATTGTGTTATAGGTAAACTATTTGGTCCACTCCACAATTCACGCCGTGACCTAGCCATGATCAATGTTCTACGTGGACGTGACAATGGTTTGCCAGACTACAACACGGCAAGGCGTGCCTATGGTCTGCCGGTTATCACGGATTGGAGAGATATTAATCCCGAGCTGTACAATAAGACTCCAGAGGTATGCGTTTATCCTCTACCAGGGCCACAGATTGATTTTTCACTAGATATTAAGAGATACTATATGTCTCTGGTTAAATGGATGACTAATCTCTGTACTGTCACCCTGTGCTGAAATCTCAATTATGATTACATGATTACATTTCGCCTCAGCAAAAATATCCATAGAATAACAACTGCGGCCCTGGTAGAGGGTAGTATTTGTACATGTTAGAGAGAGAAAGGGAGAAAAAGAAAGAGGGATGGTTAGAGTAAGAGAGAGATGCATATGCTCAGATGGAAGATCAGAAAATTGAAAAAAAAAAAAAAAAAACTTTCGTTCAAAATGACGCAAGGGTGGTACCCAAGGCTGAATTGGCTATGTTGACTGAAACAATTTAAAATCTGGTCGGTTTCTCAAGTTGCCAGCTTTTAATAAAAGTAATAGATAACAGTTGCCTGGCAACTCTTTTGTTGTTATAAGGAATTTTTGAGCCTGACAAACCAACGTTGTCCATTCCGCTACTCTGACACAACCTACTCTTCTCTCACATTACTGGATACTGTGCATAACTTTACATGCAAGAAGTGAAAATTTCACATATAAACAAAGGAAATGCTGATTTCTTAGAATACAAAAGACGGTAAATTACTCTGAGACTTTCTGGGTCAGGCTTAATTCTTTTCGGTCACCCCTGGTATATTGTACAAAGGACATTCTAAGAGCTTTGAACAAACAATAGTGAGTAAAAGTTCACCTATGATAGAGCTGAAAATACGTGATACATACACGTGTATTGTTATGCATCAATGTGAAGCTTTACTTTTATTTGTCTCATAGGTAATTGAGAAAATAAAATCTGTTTATGGCGGGAATCTGGACAACCTTGACCTGTGGGTGGGCGGTCTGTATGAGAGCCGGCCATCTGGACCCGGACCTCTCTTCATGGAGGCCATCAGGAATCAGTTCATCCGGATCAGAGACGGCGATCGATTTTGGTTTGAGAATCGATTGAATGGGTAAAACAACGATATGATTGCTTTCCGAGAACAATTTATATTAAGAATAAAATATAAGACAGTTGAATAGCCATTTATGCATTTGTTGATCCATCGATCTTTCAATATATATTTGTCCGTTCATTTTTTTCCATCACAAACCAACTCTTAACCAACCAGAGTTGCTAAATTTTTTAATCAGAAGACTATTTTTTGACGTTCATTGAAATACAATCAATGCTACAGAGGCAAACATTTTAAAAAATAATAATAGTCAGTAACACAGTAATAATAGTCAGATCTCGTATTTTTCAGGTTGTTTACAGACGAGGATATAGATGAAATCATGAACACGACACTGTATACTATCATGCTCAAGGTGACGGATATACAGCCAGGTGAAGTACAGGAGAACGTGTTCTTCTGGCATAATGGTAGGCACCCATTTCAAATTCATGCAATTTATAGCACGTGGTGATCACGTGGCAACCACGTGATTACACCGGCGGTAATGTGTATTTGCCAAGTGATTGCAAAGCGTAAAGAGGATAATATCTTTTGGGCTACAGGGTTGGCCAATCATGATCACACGTGATTTTTCTGTCAATGTATGATACCACAAATGACGTGAAAAGTTTAAATTTTTAAAATTTTGAAATTTAAAAATAGGCACAACAACTTATTATTACTTAAACACAATTATGTGTATACAAGGACCAATAATATTTCTCATCGTCAGGCGACCCGTGTCCGCAGCCGAAGATGCTTGAAGCGTCTGACATGGAGGAATGTGGGCCTAACCAGGTGTACGATTATTTCCAAGGGAGTGAGGTGCCTTTCATCCTGATCGTATGTAGTTTGATAGCACTGCCAATAGGTGAGATTTAAGGATATGATATGTTCGAAACTTGCTAGTTGTAACTTATGTCTTCTCACCATTGTTTTGTGATAAAAACTGAATTGAGATTAGTCCAATCTCGTTCTTGCATTTCTTAAATTCCCTATTACACCGGGCTTTCGCCGGCTTAAAGCATTTAGTGGTCAAAATTAGTTCCACAGACGACTGCAAGTCCAGAGCAACAAGGACTTCAGAGAAAGCTGCAAAAAAGTTAATTATATATTCGTTTGATACTAGGTCATTACAGTGTACATGTTCTGTCTTTAAGTTATCGGGGAAGGGTTATGTGTGATAACATTAGCGACCCGTATTAAGTTTTGTTGATCGTCTATCGTTTTTTGGTGAGAATATCAGTTCTTAGTCTACTACTCGACAAAAGTCAAATAATTTTTGGAAAGAAACAAACTCAAGTGAAATATATTGATATATCGTTGTTTTAAAATTTTGTTTAAATTTGAATTTCGATCTTTTTTCTAATCATCCAATACATTGCACTGTATCTTTTTAGTGTGTGCCGTGCTGATTAAGATCCTGTTGATTTGCCGTCGTAAGGATCATAGGAGAAAACAGGCCATCTACTATATCAATGATAAGCCTGCACTAATCTTAACCCCTCGCCCTCTTGCTAGAGCCGCTAAGAAAAAAAGTATTGAGCGCCTGCAAAACGCTGAGCTTGGTAATTATATATTGTAGATTTTTAATAGTCTGCCATGCCTAGTTTTGACATATTTAATAACGCATACGTCAACCTGACGCCATTTTTTTTTCAAATGTAGTTTTGTCCCTTTCACACTGGAATTGGTTAACAGTATAGTACAATTCCCCGGTACTTTGAATACCTAAATGTACTAAGACTGTACGGATTATTTCTCTCTCGTCTCTCTCTCTCGTCATAAGCGTTAGAATACATTGACCCAAAGAGCAGGCGCTGGGTAATATTAGATGTTCAGGAGAGCACAGAAGGTCCGTTTGTCCAACTATTCGACACCAAGGGGACACAGCTTCGTCAGATCGAAATTCAAAAATTCGCCCAGTTGAAGCAGACGATCTCCAGTGACCACGGTAAAAAGGCGCTGTTATTGCACGTTCCTCACGAATATGACCTGGTGAGTATAACATTTAGCTAAAATAATAATAATAATAATAATAATAATAATAATTATAGGAATAATAATAGTAATAATAAAAAGATTAATGGATAAACAGTGCAAATAGATGCATAAATTATCTGGTATGATATTTAATTTGGTACCAGAGTTGGTAATTTGAAAGGCATTAAGGTCATTTTATCTTCAGGTCCGTGAGCCGGATGACGAATTTCAAGAAATTCGAAAAAAAAATCAACGGTTTGGCCGGAAAAAAAGACCACTCTGAATCAAAAGTTGATCTAGTTTTTATGAAATTTCTCAAGTTGTGTGAACTGAGGGGTCAGCTCACTTTTCATAAAAAGACCCCATTTTAAATGTTAGTTACAGGCCTAGAGTATTAAGTTGTTTCTGACACGAAAATTTATAGTAATCCATGTCATTTTTTAAAGGTTTTGTACTTCGAAAAGCCAGAGGATCGAAACTTTGTGACTCAGTTACTTCACGACGTCGCTGAAAGGCATGATAAGCGTTGCATTGAGGACTATAAACCATTCAATAAGATGCTTTCTTGTGCTGAAACCAAAGCGAAAAGAAACGTCAAAATTGAGAAGTTTTTGCGAGACGTTTTTGAAAAGGTAAGGTAAACCTGTATGCTCTCTCATATAAGGCCTACAAACGCTTAAAACTGAGTGATGGCGGCCTCTTAGTACTAGTGTTTTATCAGAATACCTTGAATGCAAAGAATGAGGGAATTTGAAATGAAAATTTTTCGTATCTGATTTTCTTAATGCTAAAAGTATTTGTTACCACAAGTAATCACGATTTCTGCTACGAACCTTTTCAGTTATTTCGAACCGATCATGGTCACAGCCACGGAGGTAACAAAGTGAAGGGAAGGAGAATTGAGAGAAAAGAGATGGAGCTTCTGGCCATGGAGATCACGAAGGAAGAGCTAGGTGAGGCGCTGTCACTTCAGATGAATGCTTCCTTCTTGGTCGATGTCTTCAGGATCGCGGACCCCCAGAACCACGGCTACATCACGCTCCAGGAATTCGTAGATGTATTGATCATACTTTCAAAAGGTAAAGATATACTGATCATAAATGATTTTGCCTTTGTTGGTTTGAGTAACTAAGTAACTCAAAGCTTACAGACGGGATATGATAACATTTTCAGGAACTTAGAACCAGTTTGGTTTGGGCGGCAATTCATTTATTGGATAATAAAATTAATGAGAATTGAGATTTCTTGGCGGAGATCCGTGCTTTCTGACAGCTTATTATCAATTGAATATTGCACAAATTGTTGTCTCGGTTTTGTTTTCCAATTGCCAACACTAAGATACTTGGTAAGTTCTCTTCCATGTCTCAGAAATAATTTTAGTTATATATTTCCATATAAACTTGGTCATATGATTTTTTAAGATATGTCTCTTATTACCAGAACTTTGTTTCGTTTATTTAAATTTGCAGTTCTGTCAACATACCACTCGTTATCTGTTTAAAAACCATGATTGTTTAGTTCCACCATTACATGTATACAAAGTAATAATGAGTAAGTATATTTAATTTGCTATTTATCTGTGTTTAGGCTCAGACGACGAGAAGCTGACAATGATGTTCCAAATGTACGATCACACTGGAAAAGGCTTTGTGAAAAAAGAGGATTTATTTAACGTTGTGAAGTAAGATATTTCTATTTTAAAATTCATTTGCTATCCTTTTGAATAATTTTGCATGTGTAAAAATTCGTTGACGACATAAAACACACACGCACATACAAACACACACATACTGCGCGCCTTTATGGATTGCAGGATGTTTTCTTAGTTCGGAAAAGTTAACATAATTATATCATACGCGATGGGTATGAGATCACATGGAAAATATAATTATTATTCATTGTATTGTTACCAAATAGGCAAAGATTCAATAAGTAATGAGATAATACTTTCAAGCATTGAAAATTTCAAATGCCAATTGAGTCTTAGACCTATCGTAAGTGTATCATGCCTGTATTATGGGTCCAAGATATCAAGGATCAAATTAATGTCTCATCCTGAAGTTGAGTAATTCATTTACCTAATACAGCTCATATCATATCAAATTGCTCAATAAAGTATTTCTGGGTTTCAGAAGCATGGCGGATATTTCAGACTCTCCAATTCAAGCATACGAGATACAGGAACTCCTTGACTCAATGTTTGAGACTGCTGGCCTCCGCGGAAAAACCTTTCTTGACATCAATGAATTCCGTCAATTGTTTGCCAAAGTAAAAGGTACATGTTGACCGTCTTAGTCGTCTTCCAGTTGCCTTCTTCATGTGTTTAATTTGTCGAATATCTTTATCGGAAGGACCCTGTATATACTTGAGCATCGTATGCCTCATCTATTTACACAATATATTATTAACCGAATCACAAGACGCCTAAATGATTTTACTTGTGTTATCTCTTCAGGAAAAAACGTGCGAGGTCGCCTATTATCCGGATTTGATCCGATCGCCAAGGGCGTGTCTCCTAACATTTCTAATATCACTCGCCAAAGTGACAAGAAAAGGTACCTTGACACCGTAATGCATACTGATTCACTCTACTGTCTTGCAAAAAGTATAATTTTTGAGTTGAATGGAATACTTATGTCACCTACACCTTCCGCAGTTGAAATGTTGTATGATGTTGTTTTTATTTACTTTTGTATCATGAAAAGGTTAATACATTTTACATGGTACCTTCACTACAGTAATTAAAAGTTATTTTTACTGCGCGTGTATCCTCAATTTTTCGAGAAAAAACGACACAATAGCAACATGTGAAACAAAACTATCATAAGAAAGTCAAGGTTTCAGATTTGAAAGACACTTCAGTATAAAACTGGGTATAAGAAGAAAACGTTATAATTTCAGTGAAACTAGCCTCAAAGTGGATGTCCTTGATGTATCAACATCGCACAATGCAGCGGATGAGAACCCGATCTATAACGCCTTGCTGGAGCTGCAGACCCACATGGAGAATAACTACCTGAACATCATATACCTCAGTTTCTTCTACTTGATTGCAATCGCCCTCTTCATTGAGAGGTCTTACCGTAAGGACAACTGCCGTGACGGCGCTTTTCATCTTATTTTCATCCATTTTATCATCTACTGATGCCAAATACTCAACTACCAGAATGTTTTGTACTGCTAGCTATAATCAATATTTTCATCACATCCGAACACTGGCCTGTAATGATGTTCTATTAAAAAGTAATAATTGTTTAGGGCTTTTGTTATTACCGAGATTAATAATTGTAAAGTCATAGAGACATTGCAAACAATCAATTCAATTTTATAATTTGCTTTTGAATTTCTATCTAACGCCGTTTTGTTCATCGAAATATTTAATGGCGTCCCCTCTTTCCATGCAGGCTACGCCATCGAGTTTGAGCATGCCGGTTTGCGGCGTATGGTGGGACATGGTATCACACTGACCCGGGGGGCGGCCTCCGCCATGTGCTGGACCTACTCAGTACAGCTGTTAACAATGTGCAGGAACACCATCAATGCACTGAGNATCCTTTTGAATAATTTTGCATGTGTAAAAATTCGTTGACGACATAAAACACACACGCACATACAAACACACACATACTGTGCGCCTTTATGGATTGCAGGATGTTTTCTTAGTTCGGAAAAGTTAACATAATTATATCATACGCGATGGGTATGAGATCACATGGAAAATATAATTATTATTCATTGTATTGTTACCAAATAGGCAAAGATTCAATAAGTAATGAGATAATACTTTCAAGCATTGAAAATTTCAAATGCCAATTGAGTCTTAGACCTATCGTAAGTGTATCATGCCTGTATTATGGGTCCAAGATATCAAGGATCAAATTAATGTCTCATCCTGAAGTTGAGTAATTTATTTACCTAATACAGCTCATATCATATCAAATTGCTCAATAAAGTATTTCTGGGTTTCAGAAGCATGGCGGATATTTCAGACTCTCCAATTCAAGCATACGAGATACAGGAACTCCTTGACTCAATGTTTGAGACTGCTGGCCTCCGCGGAAAAACCTTTCTTGACATCAATGAATTCCGTCAATTGTTTGCCAAAGTAAAAGGTACATGTTGACCGTCTTAGTCGTCTTCCAGTTGCCTTCTTCATGTGTTTAATTTGTCGAATATCTTTATCGGAAGGACCCTGTATATACTTGAGCATCGTATGCCTCATCTATTTACACAATATATTATTAACCGAATCACAAGACGCCTAAATGATTTTACTTGTGTTATCTCTTCAGGAAAAAACGTGCGAGGTCGCCTATTATCCGGATTTGATCCGATCGCCAAGGGCGTGTCTCCTAACATTTCTAATATCACTCGCCAAAGTGACAAGAAAAGGTACCTTGACACCGTAATGCATACTGATTCACTCTACTGTCTTGCAAAAAGTATAATTTTTGAGTTGAATGGAATACTTATGTCACCTACACCTTCCGCAGTTGAAATGTTGTATGATGTTGTTTTTATTTACTTTTGTATCATGAAAAGGTTAATACATTTTACATGGTACCTTCACTACAGTAATTAAAAGTTATTTTTACTGCGCGTGTATCCTCAATTTTTCGAGAAAAAACGACACAATAGCAACATGTGAAACAAAACTATCATAAGAAAGTCAAGGTTTCAGATTTGAAAGACACTTCAGTATAAAACTGGGTATAAGAAGAAAACGTTATAATTTCAGTGAAACTAGCCTCAAAGTGGATGTCCTTAATGTATCAACATCGCACAATGCAGCGGATGAGAACCCGATCTATAACGCCTTGCTGGAGCTGCAGACCCACATGGAGAATAACTACCTGAACATCATATACCTCAGTTTCTTCTACTTGATTGCAATCGCCCTCTTCATTGAGAGGTCTTACCGTAAGGACAACTGCCGTGACGGCGCTTTTCATCTTATTTTCATCCATTTTATCATCTACTGATGCCAAATACTCAACTACCAGAATGTTTTGTACTGCTAGCTATAATCAATATTTTCATCACATCCGAACACTGGCCTGTAATGATGTTCTATTAAAAAGTAATAATTGTTTAGGGCTTTTGTTATTACCGAGATTAATAATTGTAAAGTCATAGAGACATTGCAAACAATCAATTCAATTTTATAATTTGCTTTTGAATTTCTATCTAACGCCGTTTTGTTCATCGAAATATTTAATGGCGTCCCCTCTTTCCATGCAGGCTACGCCATCGAGTTTGAGCATGCCGGTTTGCGGCGTATGGTGGGACATGGTATCACACTGACCCGGGGGGCGGCCTCCGCCATGTGCTGGACCTACTCAGTACAGCTGTTAACAATGTGCAGGAACACCATCAATGCACTGAGGGGCACTGTAGTGGCGGCATATATCCCCTCTGATGTACACGTGTTCACTTTCCATATGATTGTAGGGTGGACTTCGTTTGGAATTTCGGGTAACGTCGCCCTGCTTTCTTATAGTTGTATTATAATTCTTATTAAAATGTTTAAGTTTCATGAGAAAAGCGTGCTTACGTCTTTTTTATAGGGGTAGATTTAAAATTGAGCATTAGCTCGTCTTTTTTGTTCGACGATTTTTTTGTTTCACTGCTTAATTATCGATGTGTTTCGAATTAACTGTTCGTCTATATTATTGTATAATTTTATCATTTCAGTCTTCCATTTTGTTGGTCACATGTTCAACTTCTACCATCTTACCATTCAACCGCCGTTTTTCGTGAAGTGCGTCTTTTCCAATACCATTTATTACAGGTAAGAGTACAACTCATGATGAGTTTAATTTTTGGATGAATTACATGTACTAAAATATATAGAGTTTTTATAAAAGTGAATTTGACATTGTTATTAAAGTCAGTTAGCCAACAAAACGAGATAAATATTTGTTTATCTTTTCAGTTCCACATTTCTCCATACGTTCCAGTTCTATTTGTTGGGAACAGTGACGGGTAAGACAGCGTTGATTATTTTATATCCTATTTTAAATAGAACATAAAAAATTATTAAGTTTGGGAAGTGTCACAGAGTTTCAAAGCGATGATAAGAAAATACCTATATATATGATGATGCCAAAAGCGATTCTCCCATAATTAACAACAAACCCGTCACAGGTCTCTTCTACGCGGACGATCTTGTACTGCTGTCAACTAGTGCCTCCGGTTTACAGTACAGTCTTAATTGTATTGAAGCTTACTGTTTTACATGGAGACTCTCTATAAATCTTTCAAAAACAAAAATTATTATCTTCAATAGCAAGGGAAAGGTACTGAACAACCAGGTGCAGTATTGGTATTCTCTTTACAAGATCAGGTAATTTCACAGCTGCTCAATTGAACTTATACGAAAGGGCACAGAAAGCTCTTTTTAGTCTGAAAAGTTATATGCCACTCTGTAGTAATATATCATCCTCACTTAAAGAAAACTATTTGACACTCTGATCATACCGGTGGCTACATATGCTGTTGAAGTTTGGGACTCCTCAAGAATCACCGACAAATCTCCGGTAGAAAAAATCCATTTACGCTTTTGTAAAGAACTTCTAGGTGTACATTCTAAAACTACAAACCAAGCTGTCAGAGGAAAACTCGGTAGGCTACCAGTATTCTTTAAAATCTAAACACAACTTATAAAATTTTGGCAAAAAATATTAAACTCGGAAGATAAAAGTTTGTTGAAACAGGCCTACCTGGATGAAATAGAAAATTACAAACTTTTAAACACATCCAATCTTACAGAGATAAAGCAGGGAGACATGTCATGGTGCGAAGGTGTGAGACAAATACTTTTTGAGAATGGCTTTGGTGATGTGTGGCTAGCCCAAAGATATGATAAAAACTTTATCCAGCAGTTTAGGGAAAGAATCAGGGACAGAATAACACAAGAATGGCAGAGAGACATAACCAACACCAAGTCCAAATTACAAGTTTATTGTCAATACAAGAACAAATGTGTGAAGGAAAGATACTTAGATACAATTAAAGATAGAGATAAATGCACCACTTTAACCAGATTCCGCAAAAGTGCACACAACCTAGGTATTGAAACAGGTAGACATGAAAAAATTCCCCAAGCAGACAGAATTTGCAAAAAGTGCCATTCTGGCGAAATAGAAGATGAAATCCATTTCCTAGTGTCGTGCCCCCTTTATACAGACCTCCGATATGATCTTTATTTAGTATACAAAAAACAACATAGTAACTTTGAGCATCTTACCAGAATGGATAAATTTAAAACACTAATGACTGGTAAGAAGAATGAACATATTATTGCTCTTGCCAAATATTTATGGTAAGCCTTCCAAAAAAGGGACTGTGCTGCACCCATTACCAACTAGTAAACTGGTAGTTGAGTAGGTAGAGCCATTTTGGCTCTGCCAAATATGTTTTGTATTTTTCTTACAAGTAGTCGTACTATATCACTATTTAACATAATTCATATTTATTTATATTTGCATTCCTATTGTACATTTCCATCTACTCAGGTAGATGCATACGATACAATGAATAAAGTATATATATACCTAAAGAAATGCTTTCGTGTTTCCAGGTATGACAGGAGTATTGTTAACAGGTGTGATGGGGATCATGGCGGTGTTTGCGTTGCCATGGGCACGCCGGAAGTTGTACAACATCTTCTGGAGAGTTCATAAGCTCTACATCATCTTGTATGCGCTTATCATATTGCATGGAAGTGCAGTGCTTGTTCAGGTAAGTTAATCCGTCTCCGACAGGTGAGAGAGTAAAATTAACTTGCCTTTTGCGTATACATTTTTATTATAAAGCACGTCGGTTCAACATAAATATGGCACGTCATGCAAATTACCATGATAAACACTCACAGCGTAGTTCCTGCATATCTAAGCTTCATGTTATCAGCTGATATTAAAGTTGGCTTTTGCAGATTTTTGTTCATGTTGAACTCGAATCGTGGCAAATATCCCATGCTAATGCGGAAAACGGTCATCCCTAAAATTGTGTATTTCGTCTTTTGCAGCAGGTTATGACAAATGATTGCCAGTCAGGGCTACCTTTTAAAATGTATATTTGCAGTTATCTTTTGAGCTGCCCTTTCGCCTAGCGTAAATTAATAGCGTGTTACATGTATTTCCAGGAGCCTTGGTTTTATTTTTTCTTCTTGGGACCAGCTTTGCTCTTTGTCCTGGATAAAACAGTCAGCCTAAGCAGGTTTTCCCATCCAGTGGACGTCATACGCTCCGATATATTACCGTCTGGTATGTAATATACTATACTCATTTATTTCATATTGTCAGTTTTGATGGCTTAATATTAAACAGCACAGAGCGTTGCATAATTTCACCAAAGCGGCTTACATAAATTTTCAGATGTTAACCGTTTATCATTTATCATTTTAGTTATGGGTCTAATTCTATAAGTGTCTGATTTCAATACAATCACCACAATAAATTCAACCAATTACAATTAATCTATTGTTACATGTAGATTTGCACTTTTTGGGGATTTGTACTATTGTAGTTTTTTATCCTGTCAGTAAACGTGTTTTCTTAGTCTGTCAAAAGTCTTTGAATTCTGAATGATATTTTATATTTTATATTTTATTGGAATCTATATCTAAATAAAAATTTCTTTCCTATATGCACAACCACCTTTCACTTCAGACGTGACATTTCTTGAGATCCACAAGCCAACAGGGTTCAGTTTTAAAGCCGGGGAGTGGATACGACTTGCCATCAAGGGGTACAACGAATTCGAGTACCACCCGATCACCATCGGCTCGGCACCGCACGAGGAAACGCTGAAGGTGTACAGCGGTTGGTCCTTGGACGCGGAAAGTGAAGAAAATTTTTGATCCTAGTAATGTGCAGCAGTCCCTGAGACAGGTAGGACGTTGACGGGGTTAGGACTTGAGATTTAAAAGATTCTGAAGTATTGACTGAAGTTTGTTGTTATGCCCTTCAAATTTTCTGTTGCCATTCCGTCGCTCTCTTCTCTCACAATTGTGATTGTTTAGTCAAAATATAATTGATAACTTATGCAGAGATGCATGACCAGTGCGAAATGAAAAATGATGAAGAATGGTCCATTTCATTATTGGCAACTTTCTTGAAGCTTTAGACTGGTTTGATTAAAAAAAACCGAATTTTCAAAAAGAAGAAAAATTTTTTTCGGATATTTAGGTTTACATCGACGGTCCCTTTGGCAGTGCGTCCCAGGATTGGTCTAACTATGATGTCACTGTGATGGTGGGGGGCGGGATCGGCGTGACGCCATTTGCCTCGATCCTGAAACACATCATTTTCCTGGCCCAGACCGATGGAAGGATTAGCTGTACTAAGGTGATGACAACACACTGTCATAGTTGCATAGGTATAAAACATACTGGCATAGGTGCTCGTATTGAAACTGTGCAGTCAACTCTCCACTGGGGTCTTCTCTTCTGACCTTTCTGTTCAGGCTAAATTTCTCAGAATACATTGGGTTTCCGAAGTAGAATATCATTCTCCCAAATTCTGATTGTTTGAAAAAAATTATATTATGAAGTATTGGATATGGCGATAAAACGACCACTATCAGTACGTACTGACAGAAAAATGTTATCACAAAACTACATAACAATATAACAATTTTAGTTAAAATTAAAATGCATAAATAGTGCACTGAATCCAATAGTCCGTTTGCTGTGAAATGTAGGTCGAAAAGCTCCACAAATACTTGGTTTTAATTTGATCTATATAATTTAATATCATTGTTTGATTACACATTTTGATTAAAATTGTAAAGCAATTCCAGATCTACTTTGTGTGGGTGTCAACCGACCAGCACCAGTTTGAATGGATGATTGATATCATACGAGAGGTAGAGGAACACGACCTGCAGGCTCTGGTCCACATCAGTCTGTTTATTACACGCTTCTATAAGAAATATGACCTCCGCACATTGCTAATGGTGAGTTAGGGTCTGAATTATGGTCTGTTTATTATCAGTTTTGATATTTTATTGTTTTCAGTTTATTGTCAGCTGATCTGAGATTAAATTTTCCAAAAATTTAATGCGTCGATTTAAAACTACTTTAACGAAGTTATAGATTACTAGTTTTTGTTTTTGGTGGGTAATTTTTTTGCTTTATTTCTTTAATAATCCAAAACTAGACATACTACCTTAGAATTTGATTTAGTTCGTCACATTTTGCTTTATCTCGTTATCAACAATGGAAAGAATTCAAACGATATAAGGATACCGATATAATGATTTGAGTAATATGAAAACACACATAACGTATAAGAATGACACGATCCTCACAGACCTACTGTACACCGTTATAGCCTTACCCGTAGCCAGGTGTGGTTTTCATGACAAAGTACTGAAAGATTACTGAGATTTCATCATTATTTTCCCATTCTTTCAGTATCTGTGCGAGAGACACTTCATCCGTGTATCTGGTCGCAGTCTACTGATGGGACTTCAGTCTCCACTGTACTTCGGCCATCCGAACTTTGACTTACTTCTGAAAAGTGTGGGAAAGAATCATAGCTCGGTAAACTTATATTTTCATCTATTTACTTATCAGCACTTTAACTGTGTCTTCGTCTGCACTTGTACTTTGAAAATAGATCCATATTCACATGCTGTAGTTAACATATGAAGATAAGCGAAACCATTAGGTCCGATTTATTACAACTGTAGTAGTGTACGTCTTATTTATTCTGATTTTGATGTTTCCCTGTGATAAATAAATAAATGTTTGGTTCAAAATATTTAAGTAGTTATAACCCTGATACTTATTGTAAACTTGCACAGAATGTACAGAATATTACTTTGAGATAACGTTGGGAATTATCATAACTTGAAGTATCAAGATTGGGTCTTGGCTGTTCATGAATGGTAAACACGTTTCCATTTTACCTCCAGGTAAAGAGAATAGGCGTGTTTTCCTACGGACCACCTCAAATGGTGAAGTCGGTGGCCAAGGCCTGCTTTGAGAGAAACAAGACATCCAAGATGATATATGAGCATCATGAAGAGGTTTATTAATTTTGTGAAAGTTTCGGTGGAATCGATGTAAAGGAATGGAAAGGTGTGGATTCGTGGTTCAGGACTCGAAATAATTCAACTTCAAATTGCTAATACCAAGGTGTATTTTAAATTGATACTTATGTGTAGAAATGTGGAATGAGTCGCGTGGATTTTAACGCAAGTGAAACCAATGAGAAGTGGTCGTTGTTCTGGAATGATTCATCGAGGATTGAAACGAAAGTGAAAGTAATGAAAGCGGTTGATATCAGCGGCTGGTTTTCTTCTGCCTTTTATAAGTGAACAGTCACTATGCAACCGGAACCAGAGGTAACATTGTGACAACGTCTCCCTCTATTAATGCTTCTCGTAATCCTGATACGTCTATAAGCTGATGCTCGTGGTTATTTCACCAGACACGCTGACATTCAGTTGCTGTAATGTGACATTCCGAAATTATGCTCACCTGGTTCCTACATTTAAAGTATTGCTTATCATATATATTTATGAATATTTACAACTGAAGATTTTTTGTACAGCATAAGTCTACGTTCGAACGCTGTTCTCAACTTGGCACGCGTTATGTTTGCCCCCGCCAAATGGAGCTCTTTGTAAATTATTATTTTCACGTTGTTTATCAATATATACACGTTAGTTGTCTGGAAGTTTGTTTTCATAGATATGTATTTATTGCGTTAATTGTTAATAAAAATATTTGTGCAATCTGTATATGATTGTTTGTGAGCTATATTGGACGGGCTGATCAACCCTTTCTTACAATGATCAAATTATGTATTCTGTGAAATTTACCCGCCACCTCCAGTGTGCTATATTAAATGGTACATTTACGACACATACGGCCGATTTCATAAAGGAGGTTTAAAGTTAAACCTGGTCTAAAGTGAGTTTACACCAGGTTTAGGGATTGCTTGCATTTCATAAAGGAGGTTTTAGTATTGGACCAGTGGTCTAGTAAAACCTGGCTTAACATCATTCTAAACCTGGTCTAGACAGGTTTGTGTTTCATAATTGAGGTCTAAGTATTTGATACCCGGAATATGGACTCAGGCCAAGTCTAAAAATAAACCTGGTCAGACCCAGGTTTAACTCTGTACCTTGGAAAAAAGATCTATCACTGCTTGATTTTCTTGACTTAATTCAACCTCTTTTGGACCCCCTCCAGTCTTTTTTGCAGCATTTTTAACATTTGCAAATTCTTTCTTAGCTTTTATTTTCGCTCGTTTCCATAAGTCTTTCACCTGACTTTCAGTTCTTTTCTCGGGTTGTGGAAAATGTGCTGTCAATATTGTTAGCATTTCTTTCCACGCCTCATTTTTTCTTTGACTTGATGTGACATCATTTTTCTTTGATTCAGTGATGTTGGACTTCTCCTTTATTAGTTCTGAGATGTATCCCTTCTCTTTAGCAGAAAAATTATCCGCTCTCTTTCGGCTCATTCTCACGTGCTCTTTACTTCCAAAGATTTTTCTCATACGAGATACACAGCTTATCTGCTTCAACGCTAGAGTGTGTCATCTATTCATTTATGCCTACCTGATTGACACAGTTCAGTGATTTCTTTGTCTATGTAATCCTGTTACATTCAACAGGAGGTCAAGGACAAGTTAAAACTGGTTTAGCTAAACCTGGTTTTCTGGGTTTCCTACACTGTTAGTGAAATACAATTTAGGTCTTGAGTTAGACCAGGTTTTGCTAGACTAGGTTTTAGCCTTAAACTAGGTTTAGTTAAACCTCCTTTATGAAATCGGCCGATATAGGCTAACCAAAGTATCATATTGTTGATAATTCTTTGAAAATGAAGGATTACAATATAAGCATGCAAGCTAAGTATGAACCTCACTGTCTGTTCGTGTGTACTTAATACATAATAATTATATACTTCTTAAGAGAATATGATACTAGGTTGTAGCCCGGACTCTTAACCAGAGTCATGTTTAAGTGTAGAGGTCTTCGAACATGTTCTCGGAATACTCATTGCTATCCTCCTCCTTTTAAATAGGACGCCCCGTCTTTCAGAAAGAAAACGGACGGAAGCATTCTTAATTCTTGTGAAGTTGTGAAAGAAGTTTGTATCTAGTGATGTCTGAAACTGGGTGTGTATTTGGGACGCTTTTACAAGAAGACTAATTATAACATGGGATCACTAGTTATTTAACTGGAATTTTAGAGGAAGCACTTGGTTTACTTGTCATAGCTGGATTTTTTTTCAGGAAACACTTGGGTTACTTGATATAGCTGGGATTTTAGAGGAAGCACTTGAGAGAATTCAGCCGCAGAAAAGGATGCCAGGGTGGATGCCGGATTCAAATGCCGGAGACTGACAAAAAAAAAATAATAACACCCATCCTCTGGAATGTTTCTATTGCAAAATATCCTAAAACTTCCGCATTCATAACGTTTGAATTAAATTTTCACTTAGGTTGACAAAAGAGAAAATGAACGACCCCATTATTATTTAAAAATCAATGTAAATTTTTCCCGCACACTTGATAAAAAATGTCGATTTTTTAAAACATACGAAAGGGACAATACACTATAAATAAATGTATTTACATTGACGTTATACTGTACAATATACAATTCAAGAAGACGGAGACCAATGAAGAAAAATCACTGGAACTGAGAAAATATCCAATTTCTCATATTTTCATTGAATTCAACTTTAGACGGAAAGAAGGCTTTGAGAAAAGTCACTAATATCATATGAGACCGTATGTGATGTGAAAGGTAGACCAAACATAACGGATTAACAATCGGTAAAATGTAACAGGCACGTGTTATGTTATAATCATAATTATCATTACTTTCTTATGCTGCGGTTATTCGAACGTTAATTCGAATATTCAGTGTATGTTTTCTCATGAGGCGAAAGTGAAGAAAAATTATGCTCATAACTCTTCATCTCAACTGCTGTCGTCTGCGTAATCCAGCTTCCAGTGTCCTCCACACAGACACATCTTAGACCAGCGCTGGTCCCACGCCTTCATGGCCGCGGTCTTACTGGTACTCCTCAACAGAGACAGACTCCCACACCGCAGACACCGCCGAACATCTTCAGCCGGTGACGAACCAATGAAAATCTGCCTTACAACATCACGCAAGGCGTTGGTGTGATACTGTCCCTCAGTCCAAGACGAGACAAGGTTGGGTTTGTGAGCACCCTCTGGCGGATGGTTTATGATGAATCTCTGTGGGTGCTGTAGAGCAAGCTGTAAAGCCATGGGTGACGACATTATAACATGCTGCTCTACACAGGGCACCATCAACTGGCTGGGAAGGGAGCAACACTCATCCACCAAAGCCTCGTCATATTCAGCGTTCCCGCCGTCCTTACAAATGCCCCAAAGCTTAGTGAGGAGCTTAAACAGCAGGGCCAGACAGTCCAGGTTGGACGCCGTGGCGATGAAGTGCGGCAGACAGCTGCTGCTGATCAGTCCCCACACCCTGAAGATCACGAGGAGTTCCCGCAGTGTGTTGATTGCCACAGGGTCGTGGATGATGGTGGCCCCGGGGTGGCCAGGGTATGTCTGGTACAGAGCCAGAGAGGCCAGTAAGGACAAGCTGAAGTCGGCAACCCACTGGATGAGGGGCTGTAAGGACTGGAGAGTGGCTGGAAAGAAATTGGTTTCAAGTTTTATGACTATACCTGAGTACTGCTAATAAAGAGAAAAGACTGGAGATAACCTTTGCGATGAATGCAACTATTTCCTTTTTACTTATGGAAGTATATTTTATATACTTCACTAAAATATGCACTACCCTATGCACATTCTTTAATAACACAGGCAGTGCTATAATCAACATTACAAATATTTCAAACAAGTGCCAAAGCCAGTCATAGCACATACATTCAAAGAAAAGCTTTAAAACTGTGCTCAATAATGCTTATTGCATGGGTGAAAGTTGTGAAAACTGATAATGATAAGGTATCTGGGGGTCAGGGGCAATCAAAATGGAGACTTGAAATTCAGATATACGGAATAATCCAGATATCTATGTTATATCCCATTGTAGTGATCCGTTAATTAGAACTGAGTCTTCTAAATTTGCATACATCAGATATGTATATATTTGTACGTTTTAATTATTCAAATATACTTAGACATGACATCTTGCATGGCAGTTTAAGAGAAATTCATTTAAAATGCAAATCAAGGTTTAATTTAAATGTATCTACAATTAAGTTAATGTACATAGGCATGGCATGTTTCATGAAAGTTATGAAAGCTAATTTGAAATGCAAATTAAGATAGAGTATAAAGGCAGTGACTGAGCCACAGAGACATATAGACTTACAGACTGAGAGAGTTAGAGATAGTTATAGATACGGTAGAAAAGACCCGAGTCTTCAGGCGCTTGAATAAACCATGTAACAGAAAACTATACCTGCCTGTCTCGGCTGACTTATTGGTGAAAAAGTAACTTAAAGAAAGTGTATAACCACCGACTGGTTATTACAAATGGCGAGCTCGCCAGGTTTCACCTTAAGCTGTGTAGTGATCCGTTAATTAGAACTGAGTCTTCTAAATTTGCATACATCAGATATGTATATATTTGTACGTTTTAATTATTCAAATATACTTAGACATGACATCTTGCATGCCAGTTTAAGAGAAGTTCATTTAAAATGCAAATCAAGGTTTAATTTAAATGTATCTACAATTAAGTTAATGTACATAGGCATGGCATGTTTCATGACAGTTATGAAAGCTAATTTGAAATGCAAATTAAGATAGAGTATAAAGGCAGTGACTGAGCCACAGAGACATATAGACTTACAGACTGAGAGAGTTAGAGATAGTTATAGATACGGTAGAAAAGACCTGAGTCTTCAGGCGCTTGAATAAACCATGTAACAGAAAACTATACCTGCCTGTCTCGGCTGACTTATTGGTGAAAAAGTAACTTAAAGAAAGTGTATAACCACCGACTGGTTATTACACCATGTAATTGGTAGAAAAAAGAACTTTGCCCTACCTGGCTCTACCACATAGTCCTTGTTTTCCACATTGAGGCTCATCATGACCTTGTCAAGGTCAGGCTCCATGACCTTACTGCACGAGGCAGCTAACCTCTCTGCTGGACTCTGAAGTGGAAATCAATGACAAAGAAATTATCAAATAATAATGATGTTTAAAAGGGTAGTGACTTAGAAAGAGATGGAATAAGACTAGGCATATTTCACAGGCAAAGTCAAGTAGAAGAAAAAATCGCTTTTTCAAATGGTGTACATAATGCACATTCTAGTGTACTACTGGATTTATGCTGAATGTTACTTTTTGTACAAAATTTGTCATTTTTCTTCAAAGGGACTGTACTAGTAATCACATTTCAGTGAGGACAGATATTGACAATTCAGACCTGGATTACAACTATCAAAAATAAATAAATTAATTAATTAAAGGATAAAAATTCGCAAAAATATGCCAGCCAAATGTGGTGCACTAACTACCTTGTCCTGTGAGCCGAGTGCTTTAGGTCTCAGTATTGACTTGAATGCTGTAGAGATGGAGAACAGCAGCAGCTTGGTGTGACAGTCTCCAGCCTTTCCCTGCCCTCCACTGGAGTGTTTATACAGAGCAGCTTTCAGGGCAAGGAATCGGGTCTTCAGCAGCTCCTGCATGTGGTTGGGCTGCTTCATGTAGTCATCTGACAGACGCTGGATCACTGTGTCTATACTGCCTGGTGGGGAATAGTGTATATAAGGTTTTATTGAAAACCATATAAGATTATATGAGGAGGACTATGGATGCCTTTTTTTTTTTGCCTTCAATCTATATACTTATCTTATTGATTACTTTTACTTATATCGCAAGGTGTAATAAAGCTCTGCAAGATGTTTCATATGATTTTATTAATCTAATCCAAATGAAAGACATAATTGGCATATATATATACATTTTATTTAACTTTGTGATGAAACTGTATCTGCCAAAATAATAATAATAATAATGAAAGAATTGAAAAAAGCTAGACTGACCCAAAAAGAGTCTGAATTCTTTCTTGGCCTTACAAAATCTTTATCATTGAAACTTGTGATAAAAGAGTACATGGCAATAAATATACATATCAACTTAAGTAAAAGAAAAATCAAAATATCTCAGTACCTACCAGGTTTCACTACAGCTAGCACGTCCCACCAGTCACGGCCTGTCAACAGCACGTACTCAAACAGCGATGTGATATGCGATAGAGGCGCCTGCATGGCCGGGTCACGAGTGTTCAACAACTTTAACATGTACATCTGGTCCTGAGAGTCCATCAACAGGGCCACTGAACCTGTATAGCTCTGTTCAATGCACACAGCATGGAGGCTGGCTCTTCTCCTCTTCTCAGGAAAACCAGTTACTGTATACGAAGAATGCCTCACAGTCTCCAAATTAAATGATGCTATGATGCCAAATGTGTACGAGTTCACCATTTTGACTGTGCCATCTCTGAAGGCAATCAAGATGCACTTGGGAAGGAGGGGGTTGGACTCTGGCTTTGTAAGGGCGCTGGGGTACCTTGGCATGGCCACGCTTGACACTGGACTGGAGTGGGACAAATTTGACCTCAGAACCCACTTCAGCAATTTGAACGGTTGCCGAGTGTCTGTGTTGAGATTGCCCTGAAAGAATTTGTGCAAGCCTACAGCCTGCTCCTGGAGATGCCAGCTCTCCATGCAGGACAACTGATCTGTCTCCGACCAAACCAAGATTGTGTCACTGTCCTCTCGTGACGTGAAATCCAAGTGGGAAATCCTGGCAAAGGGGGAGTCTTTGTACTGAGGGTCCGTGTGCGCATGCACAAAAAAACTGGCATGTGGATTGCTCTGTATACTGCACGTGCTGTTGCTGTCAATTGTCACTGTCACTGTAAAGCACTGTATACAGGAGGCAATGTTGCCATCGCTGCATGCCACAATGATGTTCCCATTGCTAGAGAAAGCCAGGGCTGCTAGCTGGTACCTGCTGCGTACTTGTGACAGGCCATTTCTGACAACTGTCATTCCTTGTTCACTACCTGGTACACCAACACAGACCTGAAATGGAAAAGTTTTCCAGACAATTTAATCTAAGAAAAAAGCAAAATGCACATTCAAAGTCACTTTGATAGTGAAGAATATTTTGTCTGTGTCTGAGTGTAAACTAAAAGTGATAAGTCATAAAGAATAGAGTTTATACCCTTCAAGAAAGATCTTCATTAGCAGCTATATATACTGATTATCAGATTCAAAGTAAAAACACACAGGTGACCACTGAACACAACACACAATATATTCTGACCTTGCTGTAGACGTGACTACCACATACATTTGTAAAGAAACATGACATTGAAGGAAATACCATATATCAAACCTACCAATCCAGTAGCAGTGACTCCTATCCAGCCATCAGTGGCTTTCCCACCAAACTGGCACAACGAGGGGGAGAAGGAAATACGGGTGAATTTTCCATCATATAGATAGCTCTCCCTCTTGTCTAGGTCGTAACGGACCATGATTCCCGTGTGGAGCCACGCTGCACACAGGAACTCTTCCCCCTCTACACTGGACTGATGACAGAGTTCCCAGCTGTTCATTAAATAATCCTAAAGAAAGAAGGAAAAGTGCAAAATTATAAAATACTTTGTTAGGTATTTGGTCAATGTGAGATTAATTAATCCTTTAAGTTTAAAACATCTTCTCCAGGATTTCCTCACAAATTGACTTTTTCTTATCCTTTCTTGTTTAAATCTTGACAAGAATATCACCTTGATCACCATATCCAAAATAAATAAATGCATATAATATTTTTAAAAACTGCTGAATGAGTTTACCTTCATTTTCCATATGGCCGTATTGCCCAGTCTGTCAATGACCAGCAGTCTTGAGCCACTACTGTCCCAGTGTAACTGCTGGACAGCCTCATCCAGTCTGGTCACTTCAAATACCTCCCACGGTTTCTCCACATCATACACATACACATGATACTGGTGTTCGAATGACATGGGTCTGGAATATTGATATCATGTGATGAATCATTGGCTGAAAATTGTTATGTTGAGAGTAAGTCAAGGGTAATCCCCATTATACATTGACAGTAAGGCCAGTAAGTATTCAGAAAATGTACTGAATGTAGTAATTGTTTTTCATTTTGACAAATTTAAGAAAGGATGCACATGGTTGTCCACTTCATACTACCTGAAATTATCTTTTCTAGTAAATTAATGCAGTTTTTTTTTAATGCGAGTCCTTTCCCTTCCACGTAACCCCCCCCCCCCCCCCCCACACACACACACACGCACACACTAAATAATGATAATAAATAAAATAACAATGATAAAAAACAGAACTGATCTATGGCAACCCGCATTATAATATTTGATAAGGAGCCATTATCATCACAACATCAGAGGTCGTTCTATGTTGTGTTACCTGTCTTGTTTTTCCTGCATAAGCAGATCGTCTTTGTCCTTGCCCAGCTCCGCAGCCTCGTCGAGCGCCTGGGTGCAAGTAAAAGCGACCGCGTTCCGGCATGAAAACGTGCATATGGAACGCGGCATATGGCCATAAATTGGCTTCCTGGTCGACGAACCCGATACACTATATATCAACTCCATCTTTGACGGAGAATTGATGAAAAATTTAGAAATATACGTCGGCAAAACTGCCGGCTAACCTAAGGCAACCATGTTGGATTTAACTCTCGCGAGATTTTGTTCTGGGCGAGAGTCTTATCACAGCTGACAGTCTAAATTACTAAAATAACTGAAACGTAACAAGAAGAGAGAATTTTGCTAAAATGTTCGTTCTAGGATAATAAATTATTGTTGATATACTTTGTTTTCTTAGACAGAATTACAAAATTAGCAGTTAGATTAAAGGAAGGAAAGAAGAAAAATTCAAGACTAGGCCTACATTAAAGCAATGCACGTTTTAGGCTACCGGTAACCACATAGTAGACGCACATATTAACCCAGCAGGCACATAACGTTGATTCAACGTTGAATCAACGTTGAGTCTCAACGTTGAATCAACGTTGAATTTATGTTTGAAAACGGAAGTTTGTGTCAACGTTGAAAAGTCAACGTTGAATCAACGTTGGCAATTCAACGTTGAATCATGATTGATAGTTCAACGTTGTTTCAACATTAGAAATCTCAATTAACGTTGATTATATGTTGATTTAGCATTGATTATATCTTGATTTAACATTAAATAAAAGTTGAGACAAATAGCATTTTCAATGTCTTTATTTTGTCACTACATAAAAGGAAAAATGCTGCTAATTTAAGTAGTTAAAATATACATAGTTTACAACATAGCAATAATAAATAAAAAACTAAGAACAACACTTTTTTTTTTACAAAACAAAGCTGCACATCGAATCTGAACTAACACAAAAATTGTAAT